GTGTGTGTGTGTGTGTGTGTTTGTGTTTGACTGAGATAGGGCCTCACTACTGCATCCTAGGTGGCCTCCCAAGTGCTCGGATTTCAGGCGCAAGCCACTATACCAGCCACCCTTTATCCTAAGTCTGCCAAGGTCTATCAATTTTGCCTCTGTAAGGTACTGAGACAGCCTCCACACCTGACTCTCCCCAAGGAACATCCTCAAGTGGTATTGTACATTCTTCCATGTCTGCTGGCAGTTATCCTGAGTTGATTCATGATACAATCACACTAGGACTAAAAGTCCCCATGGAAATACCCTACCAAAACATGAGGTCAAACTCTAGAGGCTACTTCCCAATTCTATTGATGTGTTTATTACCCATAGATATTTCTTATCAAATGCCCACTCAGCTGGTCATAAAAAGGAATCAGACAGATTAATTTGAAATTTAAAAAATTTTAAATTGAAATTTCATTTGACCCTTATCAAGTTTTCATTTGGAGGTACTGAGGGAAAATATATTTTTCACAGATGTAAATTATTTGAAGCAACTTTCTTTTTAATAGTAGAAGCCCTACACCATACACAGTCCTAATCCTCAAGCTCATAGGGACAAGCTGCCCATCATCCAGATATGCTAATGGCAAGGAATCTTGAGGGGTCTGATTTGGTTAGAGAAAGGGGCTCAGATAACCAGAAAACCAATATTGCATATCACAAAATAGAACATCTTATGCATGTAAACAAACCAGAGTCACCTAAAAAACTATTGAAGAGCTGGGTGTGGAGGTGCACACCTGTAATCCCAGTAGTAATCCCAGTACTCAGATAGTAGGGGGATCATGAATTCAAGGCCTGCCTGGGCTGCATAGTAAGACCTGTTCAGAGGGAAAGAAGACCTAATTCTGAGGCCCGATGTTAGAGCTGATCTCCCCAGGAAGTGAGTAGGCCTGGGAACTCTTATTCATAATTACTCTTGATGAAACACCAACCGACATCACAATGCAGGCCAATTTCACATAATAAACAGTTTCATTCCTGGTCCAGCATTGGCCACTAGAGAATACTTAGAGATAAGGTCACATGGCAAAGAACAAGGTTTCTTAAAGGATAATTCCTACCTAGCTAGATGATCAGAATCATCTAGACTTATTAAAAATGCAAATTCCTGAGCCCTGTACCTTGAGATTCTGATTCAATAACCCTGGAGTAGTACTCCAAAATTGGCATTTATAAATTAAAATTTAAAATATTTATTTTTATGTGTATGAGTATTTTGCCTACATGTATGTATGTACAGCATGGTCCCTAGTGCCCAGAGGCCAGAAGAGGGCATCTGGAACTAGAGTTACAGAAGGTTTTGAGTCACCATATAGATGCTGGGAACTGAACCCATATCCTCTGCAAGAGCATGTGCTCTTCACTAAGCTCTCTCTCCAGCCCTATAAATTTTTACATCTAATTATATAAAACATACATGTAGTTCAAAATCAAAACTATGTGAAGTCTAGCTTCCATCATTGCCCATTCTGCTCTCTCCTGTTCTTTCTAAAACTAAAGATATCATTTAATTATTTTTAATTTATTTTGTGTATGAGTGTTATACTTGCATGTAAGTGAACCTGTGTCATATAGTGCCCATGGAGGCCAGAAGAGAGCATCAGATCCCCTGAAACTGTTGCTAGTGGCCATGTGGGTGCTTGGATTTGAACCCAGGGTCTTCTGCAAAAGTAGCCAGTGTTCTTAAGCACTAAACCATCTCTCCAGATCCCCATTTAATAATTTATTTAATTTTCCATTGTTTCTTTGGGACATATAAGTAAATATGTACTATTTTATTTATTTCCTTTTTTTTTTTTGTCTTTTTTTGAGACAGGGTCTCCCGGTAGCCCCAGCTGACCTGGAATTCACTATGTAGACCAGACTGGCCTTGAACTCACAGAGATCTGCCTGCCTCTGCCTCCCGAGTGCTAAAGATGTGTGCCACCACACCCGGCTAATATGTACTATTTTAATAAATACAAATATACACAGGCATGTATACACAATTCACACTTTTTGTTTGCTTGTTTTTGTTTTGAGACAGGGTCTACACGGTCTCCCTACACTGGCCAGGCTAGTCCTCAACTCTTAGGCTCAAGTTACGCTCTTATCTCTGCCTCCAACCTGATGATGTCAGGTGTTGCCATTTATGGTAAGGACTTTGGACCTTTAGCTGTGATGTTATTGCTGTTTTAGGCTGTTCAGCAAGAGAGATGCAATCAGATTTAGGTTTTCAAAGACTTACTCTACCTATAGTATAGGCAAAATGATGAAAATGACAAAGGAAATGCAGGCCCATTAATCAGAACACTATCAGGGTAATTCAGGTAAGAGATGACAGGGTGTTCATCAAGTGCAGTAACAGCAACATGAGGAGATTTATTTTGGAAACAAAGTAGTCAAGATTTGCTGATAAGATTGTATGTAGTTTAAGAGAATGAGAGTAGTTGATAATGATTCCATGGTCTTTGGCCTGATCCAAAGGGATAAACAGAAATGACATTTACTAAAATGTAGAGACAAGATAGATGTGCTTGAGAAGATTAGAAAAAATGGTTAAGTGTTGGGGAACCTTGCTGCTAGGGTTGTAGTCCTCCATGTCCGGATAGCTCTAAGGGGCTCGGCGCTATATGGAAGGACTCCCCTTCTCAGCAGGGGACCTCCTGCTCTCTGCCTGACTTACCTGGAAAGTGCTGCCAAGTGTGGAAGCCTGACCTTATTTGGAACATGACCTCTGGCATAGTTACCTGGAGTAAAAACTACCCCCAGGTTTTTTCTATATGATAATTAGGCATTGCCCGATAGTCTAATGATAGGAATCTACTGCCACATGTAAATAAAGCATACTATGAGCACCTATCAGCTGAAGCATTGGCTACTGCCTCCACACTATATTTTCCCTAACCCCCACTGAATAAACAGAGCTGTTTCACTGAGTCTGGAGCTCTTTCACTGAATCTGGAGCTGTTTGTATCACTGAACCTGCCTCACCAGAAGGGCTTTCTTCCATCAGTGCTCACCGGCCATCTTGACCCCGTTCGTCGCTTCTGCTCCCTTTGTCCTCGTGGAATGGTGGCCAACGACCCACGAGGAAAGGGAGAGACCCCACAGTTAGGGCTGTGCTATTAGACATTAGAAAACACTGAAAAGGGCAGCTGGACTATATGGATTATACGACTCTGGAACTGAGGGAGACCAACCAGTGCCTTCTTCATTTCATGTCCCAGGAGACAGACAGATTATGCTATCATCATAGTCTTCCTGCTCAAATTTTGTCTGGTTCTTCGTGAGCTGATTCCCAGATGAATCTTCCATGTAAGGGAACATACACAAATGGGATAATGATGACAAGTAGCAATAATTACTACCACTAAAGTCTGACAAAATCATTTGATGCAAGAGGAAGTAACTGGCCTCTTGTAGGTCAACAGCTCCTGCAGTAACCTAGGAGACAAAGGACATTTCTTCTGTTTGATGAGGGATCATGGTAGTCCAAAAGCTATTCGTCATTTCCAAAACTGTGTTCTTGAAAAGCAGAAATAAGTGGTATCTATACTGACAAAGTGGAGTAAATGAGTCTCTTATAGAGAAATAGGATCAATGGTTGTGATACACCAAGTCACAGTGGCAAACGGTAGCAAGTCTTAGGCTGAACTGGGTACCTGACCTGCATACTAGAATAATAGCAAATGCCTTTGGTATCATAATCTGTTCACATGCTTTTGTTCCCCACTGTGCTGTAGGAACACAAGTACTGTTGCTCATTCCTCCTTGTATTCCTGTCTGCTTCGGAATGAATGGCTCATGTAGGTATCCAATACATATTTGATGAAGCACTAGAGAAATGAATGCCTTCACGCATTGTTCAGGCCTCATTTCTTTCTTCTCCTATCTAACCTCTACCCTATTAATATTTTCCTCCAGGAAATGAGGTTTTCTAGAGATGTTTGGAGGAAGTGAGATTCTCTTAAAGAAGGAAAGCCAGGGCCTAAATCAGCTTACGGTGGAAGTAAGATTTTAAAGAGGCTAAGGGCTGCCCAAGGGGGAAGGGCACAGAGTGATGTAAAGATCTGTAGTGAAGAACCCATCTGAATAGTACTCAAAGAACTGCAAGGATGACTGGATAGTACTGTCGCTAGATGTACAAGATGTCAGCCATTGCCACCGACTCCCCAGGATCATGGTGCCTTGCTTAGTGTAAGACCTGAGTAAGGACTCTAAACTCCAGTTTTATAAGCCCTCAATTTCTAGCACCTGGACATTTATGAAAAAGATTGAAATTATTTCTACATGGCCTTTGAGGAACATTATAACTAACAACAACTTATGGAAAAGCACTCAAGGTAGTTGACAGCCAACGTTTAGATTCCTGAACTCCAGAACACACATGCCAACCCTATCTTTCTGCACTAGTCAATCCCAAGAGAAATTACACAAGGTTAGGTTTGGTTTCATGGACGTCTAGGACAACGCTCTTCCACCTATAGTTAGGTAACGTGGGCACTTAAAGATATAAGGCAACCAACCACTTGGTTAGATTAATAGAGTATGTGAGCTACCTCACATAAGGAAAAGTGAACTATGAGTGAACACTAGGGTGAAACAGACGGTGTTAAAGCACCTCAATCTTTTGAAGAAGTTCAAGTCCCTGGCAAGCTAACAACTCAATGTTTTGCCCTTTTACATCTTAAGACTTCTTGGGAACTGAAATAGGCCAAATCCGAGCACAATTAAGAAAGCGAGCTCAATCTCCAACTGCACAGCACACGAGAGTGTGTAAAGTCCTTGAGAAGAATGTGGGTCCTTATAGACAGCATCTCCACTACTGGTCATCTCCAGGGCGGGTCATCTGTCGTCCCACCCCCTCAAACGGCGTGCGTCCGTAGCCCACGCACATCCGCAGGGCGCCTGTCCACCCACCTCCCCAGTGCAGAAGGTCGGGCCCCTTGACGACGCGGCCGGGCCCAGCGACTCACCCCAGGCGGCCAGGCAGTCGATCTGCAGAGGCAGCTTTTCCAGGATCGGCACCGGCTCGAAAGCATCATGCATGCCTGTAAGGAGAGCTCGGCCGTCGCCGTCCCCGCGAGCTGCTGGGCGGAGCTTGTGGTAGGGGCTGAGACGGAAGACAAGACCTGGATCCCGTCGGGGACCCGCGCTACAGACTCTCCATCAACCCCGCCACCAACACAGCCCTCTCCGACACCGGACTTCCTGCTGGCTTAAGACCGCCCCTTCCGCCACAGAAGCCCCGCCCCTCCGCCCTGAGTCTCCAAGCGCCCGTAAGGGACTGGTTCCCCGGTTCCCGAGTTCCAGTCCCGTCCCGCACCCAGTCCTCAGTACTAGGGTCCAAGTTGCCGCGAGCTTTAAAGGGATGAAAGGTCTTAACCTTGGGGTCTTTTGGGGGCAGTGGATGTGGCTGTTACGGTCTTGCGCTGGCTGGGCGCGGCACCGTGAATACAGTGCTTGCCCAGCACCACAGAAACCTGTTGTGGTGACACGCCAGTAATCCCAGAACTCAAGAGATGGAGGATCAGAAGTTCGGGGTAGCCTTAGCCACATAGTAAGTTCACAGCCAGCCTACGATACATAAGTCACAGTGCCCACACTGCGCAAACACAAACCAAAAAAGTAAACTTGTGCATCGGTGTCAGACTTGGGTTTGAGATATGCCATTTAGGAAATTAGGTTTTTAAATTAAATTTAACCATTCCAGGCCACCTTTCCTAATCTGCAAAATGGTTTTAGTGTAAAGACCTATAATATATTGTGAGCATCTGGAAAGTCTTGCATACTTTGGCGCGTCAGTAAATAGCTTAAGTGCTACTATTACATCCCAACAGATTCAAGGGTCTTACCCTTCGATCTTTAAAATTGGGAGACCAGTGGTTCTCAGTGTAGTCCAACCATCAGCATCAGGGTTACCTGTGAAGTTAGAAATGCACTCGCGCCTCACCCCAGCTCTACTGAATTAAGCTTTGGAAAACAGCAGTGTTCTGATTAAAGTTCATACACTTGAACACTTGAAAAACAATTTTAGGCTAGGATTTCTCAGCTCCAACATAACTCTATAGAGGGCAGTACTATGCATTGTTAAGACCTTTGGCAACATCCCTCTACTCACCAGATTGTAGTGCACCTTAACCAAAGTCAGATATTTTGAACAAAAATGTGTGCTTAATGTCCTCTGGTTGGTAAAATCACTTCTGGTAAACCACTGTTCCAAGCTAGTGCTTTGTGTTTGCGAGATGCTCAGTGTCCACACTTCCTCAGTTGCTTGCCACTTTATTTTTTGAGACAGGGTCTGTCATTGAACCTGGAGCTCATCAACTCAGGCTGGCTGGTTAATGAGTTCCAGGGATCTGTAGTTCTCCACTAGATGCTCAGTGTAAGGGCACCAGCTTTTTTACATGGGTGCTGTGGATCCGAACTCATCCTCATGAGTGAGACTTTAGCAACTGCCATCTCCCCAGTCCGCTAGGCCAGTACTTCTTAGTGGACACAAATCATCTGGAGACATTGCTACAATGTAGATTTGATTCAACAGGACCAGAATGGGACCATCAATGAGCACCTCTAACAAACTCCCAGGTATTGCTGATGCTACTGATCCCTGGGACATTTTGAGTAGCAAGGGTACAAAGCACGCCCAGCCTTTTGACACTGCAAGACAATGCTGCTATCTGTGAAGTCAGAGGTACCAAAAAATTGAGGTACAAAATAAATTCCCAAAACCTTATGTTATAAGCTAGCTTAGGATTTTGTGTTGAACTGCATTTGTAGCTATCTTCAGCTGCATGTCACTAACTGAAGGTTGGACACACCTGGAAGAGTTCACTTTCAGGAGGCTTTCAAAATTGATGCTCACAATCCTAGCAACTCGAATGTCCCAAGCTGTGTCTTATATCCAAATACTCCTTTAAGTAGAGCAAGTAACAAGTGTCTTCACTCCTATCCTTAGTGCCTCAGGCTGACTTAGTATTCCTTTCAGAGAATTAAAGAACAATTGAATTTAAGCTATAAGGATGATCTGTATATATCAAAGTATCAAAAATGACATAAACTTAAGCATTTGGGTTTATGCAAAACTCTATGTGGAAATGCAAGATATGAAACCAAAACTAGTCCTGGTCATTTTATTTTTACACAGTATCAGTTTCTTGTTGGGCATGATAACATATGACTTTAATCCCAGCACTTCGGAAGCAGAAGCAGATGGATTTCTGTGAGATCAAGGCCAGCCTGGTCTACATTGTGAGTTCCAGGCCAGCTATGGCTATAGGAAGACGCTATCTTAAGACCAAAAATAAAAAGTATGTTTTAGCACCAGTTTCTTCATATGTAAAAAAGGAATGCTTGTCTTATTTTTACCAAACACTGTCCAGTGGTCATATGAAAATGTATTTTCAAGTGGTTAGAAACACAGAAATCGATAAATAAATCTTGCTTTCTTGAAAAATTAGAATTACCAACTACTACATTGGAAGAAGGTCCAGGCTATAAAACTTGTGTCTTATGTTTCTGCTTAAGGTAAAAGAGTTCTCAAGTCAATATCAAAGCAGTCTAAAAAATATTTGGCCAACTAGCTTGCTACATTGTAACTATTATTCCACCTCCTAAGTTTTAGGTTCAAAAGCAGCACACAGTGTCACGAGCCTTTAGATGATGGGTTAGCATCAGAATATAGAGGTTCTTCATATTGTTCTTCAGCGTGGCTGCCTAGGTGACTTTCAGAAAAAGTTAACTACTGCCAAAAGCTGTAGAGAAATCTTACCTAATTGTTAATCACACTTCATGACAGTATGAGTTAAGACTGTAGTCACTGGTTCCAACAGAAAATAAGATAATCTACAATAAAAGTCATGGGGAAAAAGTCTCTGTAAGACAGTGTGAAAGAAGGGTGCAAAGAAAGTTTAAAATAAATGAGAAAAACATTAATTTTGTAAAATTTTTATATTAAAAAGTGACGTGAACTTTTCATGAAGAACAAAATTTTTAGGAAAGCAAAACTGGATAAAACCATGAAAACAGAAATACAGTGCTTCAAGTAAATCCCATCACCTTGTGATGTCCCTTATAAGCAGTCTCTAAACCAACACCAGATAATAGAACAGTCAGTCTTAAAACGAGCAGCAGCCCAGGGTCTCCATGCTACTTCATGCAAGAATAACTGTTAAGAGAAGCCAACAGGACAGAACCTAGGTCCTTTCCATAGCTCCCAGTTCTGAAGCATGATAGTCCCTCCTACAGGGTGTTTAATCACAGCACTTTCAGAGTGTGTCTTGGCATCTAGTGCAACTCCCAAAAAACAACACGAAGGCAAACCAAGCATTGCCTCCAACTGCACTGCCTGGGAGGTTTGCTAGGCAGGAGTTAAAACGTTTGGAGTGTGTACCACATTGCCAGCAATGGGATGTATAATATCAGATGTCAGAAGAGTTAAGCTAATATTTCTCTTTAAAGCACATCTGAAATAGAAAAATCTTTACACCATTTGTAAACAAAACTGCACTTGATTTTGCTTTTTTGAAACAATCTGAATCACATCTAACATTTTCTTTTCCTTCCTTTTGATCACTCATAGAACATGGCTCCTTAACGCAGAAGAGCCCACTTCACTCAAAACTACGTCTGTAAGATGTAACAGTGACTTCCCAGGAAACTGAAATTGACAGTTTCTCCCACCACCAATGCAACTTCCTAAATAAATAAAATTACAGGCAGTTGCTCCTAGAGATGACATATTATGCTGTTGATCACATAGTCCTTTTAAAGATGTTAAAACTTTTTAGTTTGAAAGATTAAACAACTGAAACAGAAAGTTCAGGAACAACATATAGGTTGCATAAACATCCATGGTGGGGTTTGGGAGTGAAAGGGTATCAATGTTGTAAGAAGTTTGTAGATTTTCTCATCCTATGCATGTGTTTTGAGAAAGATGTTCTTGTCTGACACCTCTCTCCAGCTTCCATGCATAAAGATCACAAATGGAGCAAGATGGCATTGCTTCTTTTAATCTCATGGAGCAGTATAGAAGACTGACATGCAAGCTGATCTCTTCCTTGACCATCAACTGCAAAGTTTCCCATTGTTTACTCCATTTTGGATCTTTCAAAGTGTGTGATCATTCGTTCCTAGGAAAGAAAAAGATTTATTCTAAGTACATTAAGTTAAAATGGTCTACATTTCAAATACTTTCTATGTGAATGATTCAAGCACATTTTTCACAAGTAGCTTTTTGTTTGTCAATTAAATGTTTCCAGTAATGTGTCTATCATTCTGAAACATTCCAGCCCTATGGTAGGTAGGTATGCCTTACATGATACATCTTTATTGAATCCTAATATTGATGGTCTAGTTGGATATAGAATTCTAGGATGAAGATTATTTTCCTCAGAGTTGAAAGGCATTGTTCTAGTGGCTTCTAATGTTGATGTTGAAAAGTCTGATTCCTTATCGTTTACATAATTTCTCCTCTATCTTTAAGTCCTTTTAAAAGTTTTAAAAACAGAAAGAAAGGCTTTGGAGAAAGTGATGTGAGCAGCAGAATAGAAAGCCCTGGGCCCCCTCTTCCCAAAGCACACTATTTCAACAGTATACCAAACAATTCCTTTTAAGATAAATCTAGCTAAGGGGCTCCTGAGTCACAAAGTTAACAATATCAAAGGTAACAGGAAGATCTGCAGAAACTTTCTACCATAATATAGCTCCTCAACCATCACTTAAATCTTGTGGCACGGTGCCACATGATCTGGAGAAACCTCTAGTGCCTAGCTGCTCTCAGAGGAGGAGAGTGAAGGTGAGGACTAGGAAAGACATCTAGCATCCTGACTCCTAGACGGTGCCCAAGGGCCTAGTTTCTGTCTTGTTGTAATCACAGCATTAAAGGCAAAGAGCCCCAGGTTGAAAGGTTGACAATAAAGATGAAGGCTTGGACAGGCAAGCATCACCCTGAGGCTCTCAACTCAGCACAGAGTAAGTAGGAGGGAAAGCTTTAAAGCACAGCTCCCTCCAGAGGAGAGCTGATTTATGAGCAGGCTCTGCTAGGGAGGCTGTCCATAGGACTGGCTCCTCCTGCCTTGAGAAACAGTGAAACACACCCATTGTTAAGGTACCTGAGCAAAAACATCTGGAAGCACCCTGCTGTTCTAAAAGAATTTCAGCACAGAAAACATACACTAGAGGGCAGAAGTGATTAGGAATTCTCAGGGGAAGGGAGACCTTTGCCTGAGAAGTTACATGTACAAGTCCACAGAAGTAGCTCATCCACAGAAGAGAAGGCCAGAATCACTGGTCAAACTGACTGGTGAGGGTTTTCTGTACAAGGCAAGTCTGTGAACCTCAAAAGAGATGGTTACTTTTCAAATCACAGACACTAACACTAAGGAAAAAGGAGAAACAAGGAGGTCTAAACAAAGGAATAGGCTATATCTGCAGAAATTAACCCTAATGAAAGGAAGGTATATTAAGTATGTTAACAGTAAATACAAAATAGTCCAGGACAGCAACTAGCTCAAAAAGCTCAGAAGAACAAAGTGAGAATTTCAGAAAAGAAACATTATTTTTTGAATATGCCAAAACTGGTTAACCTGTAAAAAATTATTAAATTTCTATAAATATGCAACTCATCAAGCCTGAAACATGAAAAAGAAAATCTGGGAAGACCTGTAACAATATTGACTTAGAAATCAAAAAGCTCCCAACACAAAAATTTCAGGAGCAGAGGGCTTCATTGGTGAATTCCCCCATACATTTAAAAATAAACTCCTTTTAAATTCTGCTAAATAATAAAGGACAGGAAATCCATTTAAAAGGAACTTCCAAGAAACACTTTTATGAGGCCAACATAACCTTGATCCAAAGCGAAACAAAGACATGAAAGAAAACATCGAGCAAATATATCAGATGAACACCACCACTAGCAAACTGAATTTAGGAACATATTAAAAGGACCACATACCAAAATTTAGTGGGATTCATCCCTGAAATTCAAGAACAGTTAGACATACAAAAACCAATCAAAGTGAAATAACCAAACACAAAGGAAAAAAACCACATGATCATACCATCTGATACAGAAAAAAAAAAGGATATCTGACAAACTTTAACACAAAATTCTCCTTAACATAATAAAGTCCATAATCCTTTATGATCATGAGGAATGTGAATGTGTCAAATTCTGTCAATTTTATTTAACACAGTACTGCCAGTCCTAGACAGAACAATTTATGCAAGCAAACAAAAGGTATCTAAATCAGAAAGGAAAAGGTTATCCTTGTTTGCTGATAACATGCTATTACTGTAAGTTTTAACGATGCAACCCCAAGCCTGCTAGAACTAATAAATGAATTCACTGGAGTGGCAGGATAGCAAATCAACATATGAAAATCAACTACATGTCTATGCATTAACAACGAAATATCTGAAAAGGAACTAAGAAAACAATCTAACAGAAAGAGTTACAGTTTACTCAGGAGTAAACTTAACCAAAAAGGTAAGAGACTCATACACTGAGAACAGTAAATATCACAAAAAGAAATGGAGACATACAACAGAAAGATATCCCATGCTCATAGACTGAAAGACTTGATATTATTAAAATATTCATACTGGGGCTGGAAAGATGGCTCAGTGGTTAAGAATACTAGCTGCTCTTGCAGAGGACCCAGGTTCAATTCCCAGCACCCATGTGGTAGCAAACAGCCATCTATAACTCCAGTTCCAGGGGATCCAGCATCCTTTTCTGACCTCTTCGAGCACTGCATGTCAGGGGTGCACTTATACATATGCAGGCAATACACTCATACACATAGAAAATAAAAAATAAAAATACAATATTAAAAAAATAAATGAAATATTCATACTACCCAAAGTAGCTTACAGATTCAATGCAATCCCTATCAAAATGTTGATGGATTTTTTTTTTTAACAGAAATGGTGTGGGGAAATATCCTAAAATTCATAAAGAACCGTAAATAACTTCAATAGTCAAAACAATTGAGAAGAAAGAAGAAAGCTAGAATCGTATTCTATGACTTTGAAATATATTGTACACCTACAGTAATGAAAACAGTATGGTATTAGTAGTATAAAGACAGACATATAGGGGCTGGAGTGATGGCTCAGCAGTTAAGAACACTGGTTGTTCTTGCAGAAGACCCAGGTTCGAATCCCAGCACCCACATGGCAGCTAACAATTGTCCATACTCCAGACCCAGGGGATCTGACAGCCTCTTCTGACCGTGGGCATTACCTACATGCAGGCAATACACTTCTTTATTTTTTTTTTACAATAAAATAAGTAAATAAAATTTTTTAAAAAGACAGACATATAGATGAATGAAATAAAGTGGAGAGCCCAGAAATAAACATATACGTGATTTCTGAAAAGACTATAGAATAGGAAAAGGATAAGTTGTTTAACAAATGGTGCTGGAGCAACTGGATAGCTACATATGGTATATAATAAATGTGGACTGTAATGTTACATAAAACAGACTAAAGACTTAAACATAGTATCTGAAACTTCAAAACTCCTAGGAGAAAAAAAAGTTCTTGACATTGATGTTAGCAATTTCTTAAATATGACACCAAAAGAACAGACAACAAGAAGAAAACAGGCCAAGAGAGCTATGTCAGACTGAGGAGCCTCGGCACACAAAGGAGAACGAAAGGCAATACGGAATGGAAGAAAATACCTGCAAATCATCTTTCATAAGGGGTTAAGATTTATTTATTTTATATGTATGAGTATTTGCCTACATATATGCATGTGTACCATGTGTGTGCCTGGTCCCTGTAGAGGCCAGAAGAGGGCACTGGATCCCCAGAAACTACAGTTACACATGGTTGTATACCACTATGTGGATGCTGGGAACCAAACCCAAGTCTTCTGCAGAACAACCAGTGCTTTCAACCAAAAGCTTTCTCTAGCCCCTCATACTGGGATAAAAATCCAAATGCAAGGAACTCTTAAAGGTCAGAAGTATCATAATCACAACTAACTAAATTTAAAAATCAGCAAATGGACAACATGTGCATGAAAAAAATCATTCTCACAAATCACCTGGAAAATGCAAATCAAAATGACTGGAAGCTATCTCACACCTGTTTGTATGACCACTATCAGAAACCAAAAAATAGTTGCATACCTTTAATTCTAGCACTCAGGAGGCAGGAGCAGGTGGATCTCTATGAGATCTAGTCCAGCCTGGTCTACCTAGTGAGTTCTAGTCCAGCCAGTGCTACTTACAGAGCTGTCTCAAAACCAAAACAAAAATTTAAAAAACAAAACAAAAAGAATCAACAAACAAAACACCAACAAAAAAACAACTGGTGAAGTTGTTGATAAAATACATTCCTGTGCCCTACTGTTGAGAATGTTAACATGGTATGGCCACTATGAAAACACCAGAGTTCCTCAAAATATTAAAATAGAACTATTACAAGATGCAGAAATCCCACTTCTGGGTATATATCCAAGAGAAATGAAATCACAATTTCAAAGACATTTCTATACTCCCATGTTTGTTCCAACATTATTCACAAAAGCTAAGATATAGAATTAACCCCAATGTCAATCAACACACACAGTATCACTATTTGTTTTCTTTGTTTGTTTGTTTTAAATCCTGCCACAAGTGACAAGAGAAATAAAACTTTCGGGAAATTATTTTAAGTCAAATAAGCAAGTCTGAGAACAAATACTGCATAATTCTACTTATATGAAGTTCTAAAATAAATGTGTAGAAGAATAAGAATGGTTGAGTTCTATGGGCTAGGGCAGGCAGAAAGGAGTGCATATAAAGTTTCAGTTAGGGACTGGGGAGATTGTTCGGTGGGTAAAGTACTTGTTGCATAAGGATGAGGACCTAGGTTGGGATTCCCAAAACCCACATAAAAGGCAGTTGCAATGGTGACCATGTCTAACTTCAACACTGGGGGCAGGGACAGGCAGATCCTGGGGCTCAATAACCAGCCTGTCTAGCCAAAATAGCAAGCTCTAGGTTCAGTTAGGGATCTTGCCTCAAAAAATAAAGTCAAGAGAGAAGGGAAAACAATGATGTCAACCTCTGGTCTCCAATCACACACATCCATCCACACACATATGTGCACACACAAACACATACCACCTGTGTACACACGTACATACACACACACACACACAGAGTTTCAACAAAATGAGATGTTCTAGAGATGTACTGTACACCACTGTGCTTTTATTTCACAACACTGTATTGTACACTAAAATTTGTAAGGAGGATAGATTCTGTGTTTACCTAACACATAAAAGGACTACGGTATCTATTAGGCATATTTGCAAAGTCTTAACAGTTCTTTCACAAAGGAGAATATTAGCTGAGATTAGTGTCGCCAAAAGTACTGTGATAAACTCTGTATCACATGAATGGCACAGTAAGGTTTCACGTAGTCAGCCATCTTCAGTTGAAGATACCACAATCAGAGAGCTAAGGCCTAAGGGAAACCCTGAGGGCAAATATTAAGCAGAGGAAGGCAACAAAAGAGAGATCCAGGAATCATAAAAATGTAACCAGAAAGCAAAGTGTTGGGTAGAGCAGTTCAGATCTCAGAGTTCTCAACTGTTTCAATGCACAGGACAGCTAAGAAATTTGACAGTTATACAGTGCCATATAGCAGGCCAGTGAGAAATTACATCATTTTTAGTAGACAAACTGAAACAGTAAGTCAAAATCAACCAAATGTTTCTAAATTACATTGTGAAATCAAGGGTCTCTAGAATAAACCCAGGCCACAATACTAGAAGACTTCATGAGAAGCCTCAATGAACTATAAGGAGCCATAATAAAATTACGTAATAATAATCCTCTCAACACTTTTCCTATTTTTGCCAAGATTAAACTAGGGTAAAAAAATGAATTTCTTAAAAACAAAAAAAGCACATAGTATGGAGTTCAATATCTATTACCTAATTTTTAAATGAAAATATTCTAAAGTCTGATCATTTAACTCTGAAAAAGGCAATATGTATACACAGACACAAGAAAGAAACCCTAATATTAGTTTTCCCATTCCTGCCGTTTTCAACCTTACTATAATTTATAACTCCTCAGTCCATTACTGAGTCTGATAAACAGACTCTTCCTCAATAGGATTCAAGACTGGTCACTACCATAACCACAGAGATAATGCCCAAAATTTGATTACTAACCTCGTCCGAATCCAACAGGGCTGGAAGTGCTCTGCAGAAAAACATAGTATTAAATGATGCAAAATAAAGCCATAAATGGTTCATAAAGGACAACAGAATAATGAATGCAACACAAAGCTTTTTTACAATTTATCTAAGATTTACATCAAAGCCCTTTAACAGGGGAAAGAAAAAGCAAATTAAAAAAGAATCAAGAATTACAGGAATTATATAGAAAAAATAAAACATACAATGAGTGACAGGATCAATGTTTCATTAACATAATAGCTCTGGGAAGGAAAAAAAATTCAGAAGAACAACCCCATGGATTTTCAGAAGATCTAGAATTAAAACTTCCTAAACAGAAATGTCATTTGAATGAACAATCCCTATGTGGTTTTGTTTGTATATTCTTCTTTTTTTTTTTTTTTTTTTTTTTTTTTTTTTTAATATTTTATTATTTTACGTGTGTGTTTTAATGTAAAAATCCCTTGTTTGTTTTTTTTTTTTATTTTTTTTTTTTTTTTTTTTTTTTTTTGGTCTTTTTGAGACAGGGTCTCCTTGTAGCCCCAGCTGGCCTGGAACTCACTCTGTAAACCAGGCCGGCCTCAAACTCACAGAGATTGTCTGTCTCTGCCTCTGCCCCTGCCTCCAAGTGCTGGGATTAAAGGCGTGTGCCACCACATCCAGCTAGTCCTAATCTTTTAATCATTCTTGGGCACTGTGTAGTATCATTAGCACTCTCTTCAGCTCATTCATTCAAAATTATATAATACTAACATTGAAACAGGATTCTTGTAGTAAGGATTCAAACACTTACACATCTGTCACAGAAGAAGGAACATTCTCTTCTACCCACTTCAAGTCATCTTCCAGCTAGAAACATATAAATACCAGTTATTACTAAATGGCACCAAATAATACATCAAGTATAGCTCTAAGTTCTTAAGATCTTTAGACTTTAACATAGGCTTTTGTAACTCTAGTAGTACATGCACATAAACAATGAAGCTGACACAAAAATCAAACAAGTATTTGACAAACATCTCCCCAACAGTCCCACTCCTAACCCCCACTCAGTCCTCTACTTCTGTGAATTCAACATTGTCAGATTTCACAATAAGACATCATGTGACGTAACTCTACTTCTCTATTTTTGCTTTTGTGGCCTGGGCTGCTAGACCCAAATTTTAAAAAATCAGCACCCAGACCAACACCATGGGGCTTCTCTCGTTTTCTTCTAGTGGTTTATAGTTTCAGGTCTTATATATTAAGACCATAATTTTTCTTTGCTTTGTTTCTTTCATTTGTTAGTGATACTGGGGACTGAACTAAGGCCTCACACATGCTAAGCTAGTTCTCTACAACTGAACACTTAAATCCCCAGACTCCTTAATCTACCTTGAAAAGACTTTATGTATATGGTATAAGATAGGGTTTAGGGTTTAATTTCATTCTTTTGAAAATGTATAATCAGTTTTCTCAATACTATTTATTGAAGAAACTGTCCTTTCTAACTATTTTGTGTCCTTGGCACAGTTGCCAAAAAAAAAAAAATCAAGTGACCATAAATGCATGAATGTATCTCTGGGCTCTCTACTGTGTTCCACTGGTTTATGTTTCTGTTTTTATGCCATATTTCAAATACTATAGCTTTATGGGTTTATTTTAGTGGTCCTGAGGATTTACCTGGTACTCATGCATGTTAAACATATACTCTACCATGAGCTACATCTCTAGTATACATACATTTTATGTCATATGTATATATGTATGTACACGTATGTGCAGGTGTGCATTCATCTGTGTGTGTGGAGGCCATATGTCAATGTTGTGTTTTCCTAAATTGTTCTTCACTGTATTTTTTTGAGATAATGCTTCTCACTGAGTCTGGAGTTCACTGATTAACTAGACTGGCTAGCCAGCATATGCCTGGGATTCTCCTGTGTACATCTCCCTAGCACCGGGTTTCAGGTAAAAGCTGCTGTGCCTGCCTCTTTACATAGATCTTGGGATGCATATCCAAATTCAGGTCCTCATGCTTACATAGCAAGTACTTTATCCACTGACATACCTCCCCAGCCCCACTGTGGTATATTTTGAAGTCAAGTAAGAGTGATGCCTTCAGCTTTGCTTTTTTCCTCAAGAGCACTTTAGCTATTTAGGTTTTTCTGTGGTTTCTTCCAAATATAATTCATTTTTTGTTGTTTTAGGTCTTTTTTTTTTTTTTTTGAGACAGGGGCTCCCTGTAGCCCCAGGTGGCCTGGAACTCATTATGTAGACTAGATTGCCCTCCATCTCAGAGCTCCAACTGCCTCTGCCTCCCAAGGGCTGGGGTCAAAGGCACATACCACTGTTTTTTATTTCTGTGAAAAACGCCATTGTGATTCCAAGAGAGATTACAGCATTTGGCTTAGGTAGTATGAACATTATAATAAATATAGGTTGACAAGATGGCTCAGTAGGTAGAGAAACCTGCTGCTAAGCCTGGGGATATGATTTTGATACCTGGAACCCACATGGTGGCAAGAGAGAACCATCTCCTGCAAGTTGTCCTCTGACCACACAGGCCTTGTGATATGCCCCCCCATACAACATACACACATAAACAAAAACATAAATGTAGTATGTACTAAAATACTTTAAAGCAAGCTTATTTACAAGTTACAAAAATCCTTAAAGCCTATATATAACAATCATGAGTTCAACGAAGGGCAAAAGATCCAAGAAAGGAAAAAGGTCATACTTACTGCTTTGCTTCCTTTACTATTCCCATTTGGTTCTTGCTTGGTACTTCTCATCTTCATGCCTTCTACAAAAAAGAGAAGGAGGACCCACAGACTGGCTAACCTTGTCATCAAACTGGCAACAATTGCAGAACATATTCAGAGATTTATTTTAAGCTTGCTAACTGAATTATACAACAGATTTTTCTCCATTCTTACATTTATGATGAAAGTTCAAAGCTAAATTTGTATCTTACTTTTATAAGAAAACTGGACATTTAATGTAGAAATATCTGCTCAGTTTATCATGGCTTCATCTTAAAACTTATTCTTTCTTCATCCTAACTTTACCACACAGAACTTAGATGAAAAAATATTTAATCCTTTTTCTTTGAAAAAAATGTTTAAAGCACAAATAAAAAGACAAATTGTATCATTACCAAAGCTTTCTTTCAACATAGGTTCCTTCTGTTCATCTTCTTCATCCTCTTCTGACAATGGTGAAAAGGCAAACCTGACAGAACAGAATGGGAAGGAAAAAAATCAGAAAACACTAGCATCGTCTATCTGAAAATTATATTATTGAAACTGCATTTGCAGTAGCTCACAAAATAAGAAACTATGGTGTAGCTATCATGACCATACTTTAACATGACAAATCAGAAGACTTAATTTTAATATGGATATTGATAACCATGCGTTGGGAGAGTGGTGAGGTAAAGACTCCTCAAATGGTGACAATTACGGCAAAGGGCTGCCCAAGGAAGAAATGGATCTATTACCTTATCACCTAATTTCTATGCTACACAGTCTGCACAAATTCTTTAGTATAAAGACTAGAAAGATCAAGGGGGTGAGTGAACCAGAAAAGTATGTAATGTTTTTCTTAATTTTTATTACCATTAATTAGTTGTTTGTGTATGTGAGACATGGATGTGTGTAGATGTGTACCATGCACAGCATGTGTGTGGAGGTCAGAGGACAAATTCCCAGAGTCAATTCTCTCCTCCTTTCACCAAGTGGGTCTCAGGGATTGAAGTCAGGTCATCAGGCTTGGTGGCAGATGCTTTTACCTGCTGCACTATCTTGCTGGCCCTGTAATGATTTTACAAGACACATGAGCTTTTTCTTTAAAGCTATCCCTACCACATACTAGGTCCCTTAAATGCTGGGAATATTCATGGTACTGTTGTAGTCACATAAATGTAGTATCATTAAACACAGATATGTAGACAAAACTCATTCTTTTGGTGTAAGTCTGAGCCAAAGGCCAGAAGGTAGTTTGTATAATGAAAAATTAACCTTACTCAAAAAGATGTCTGGTCTTTGCCCCTGAGTACTGGGAGGGGATCTCCACACCTATGCAATGTCCTACCTGATGGAAATATCTCTGTTTCTCTTGGGTCTTGGCTATAAACAGTCTAGTATAGTTTATAAAAGGGGCTAAAGGCCATAATGTTTCAGCTCTGACCTAAGCATGGAAGAGAGACTACAGATCTTTTTGTATGACGACCAGGAAAGAAGCTTTTAAAAGTCAGCCACATAGGCAGTATGTGACTGAACTCTAACAAAATCTCTGGACACCCAAGTTTCAGGTGATTTCCCAGGCTGGCAACACTGCACATTATTTGGCCAGGATGAAGTAACACTGTCCATGTCAGCACAGACAGAAATAACTAGAAGCTCTTCATTTGGGGTCCTCTAGACTCTGCATTAAAAAGTCTCTTCTCTTGATTTAATATAGTTTGTACCCTTTCTCTGAAGTAAACCATAGCCATGAACATAACACTTTAAGTGAGTTTTATGAGACTTTCTAGTAAAATAATCAAACCTGAGAATGGTTGTAGGAACCAAATAGTTTGCAATTAGTATCAGACTGAGTAGTCTTATCAGGGCTCTTCTCTTAGGCTCTGTAGCCAGGTTAACTCTGGTTAGGCAGGAATAGCTGTTTTCTGTTGCAGAATTCATGTTTGGGATGAGGGAGAATAAGGTACACATTAACGAATAAATGAAAAAATATATACGATTTGGAAGATAGTAGGTGTGATGGTGGGGGATGGGTGGAACAGGGTAAGGGAATACTGGAGTCCATGATATGCCTATGGTATCCCTTTATAATTGCCTATAAATAAAAAAGATATTAAATTATTATACCTTATCCCAGTTTTAATTCTCCACATACACATAGCACCATTAACATAACTAAGCCATTAACATGGGAAATCATACAGAATGGTAGGTAGCGTTCAGAAAAGAAAAAGCAAGACAGTAAAGCAAAAACATTTTTAAAGACTGAGGAAATGAAGCATTTAAAACCTAACTGTAGCTAACAAGTAACAGCTCAATAGACATGTAAAAGGAGGGTCCTCAATGCTACACATTCTTTCTGAACAGCAGGATTTCAGATCTCCTTTATTTTCTTGCACAGTTTTTCTCTATTACTTGATTTTTCTTTTTATTAAGTGAACACAGTAAACACATAGTTTGAGAACACGGCAAAGCTATTTTCACCCAATCTTTTTTTTTTTTGGTCTTCCTGTAGCCCCAGCTGATGAAACTCACAATGTAAACCAAGCTGCCTCAATCTCACAGAGATCCACCTGCCTCTGCCTCCTGAGTGCTGGGATTAAAGGCGTGCACTACCACGCCAGCTCTCTTTCCCAATCTTTTATTGGTATACCTGATTATAGAGGTTAACTGTTCAGTTATACCATCCTACACTTCCTCTTTTTGGGTAGTATTACTTAACATGAGTTCTTATTCATCTAAATATAAGAGAGGAAAAAGATGGGAAACAAAGGCATAGACATTCACAAACTAAAAGTAAGCAGTCCCTAAATAATCAGGATTTGCCTGTCACATTTACAAGATGATGTTAAATTCCAAAGTCAGTAACAGAGGTTTTCATTTCAACCTATAAAGTCAGCTAGACAAGGCATACAAAAATTTTTCTTTTTTTCTGGGTACTAGAAAGGAGAGATTCTCAATTATTTCTATCTTATTTACCTAAACAATTATTTGATATTAGAAGTATCAGCAGATGTTAGAGCTGAAAGGGACCACATACTCAATTTTATTTCCCTTCTTTATATGAAAAGGAACTAAGAGGGCTAAAGAGATGGCTCAGTGGTTAAGAGCACTGACTACTCTTCCACAGGCATTGCATGCAGGGGTGCACTTACATACACGAAGGCAAAACACTCATAAAATCAAATAGGAACTAAGGCCCACAGGAGTGAGGACACAGCAAGCCAGAACTACAAAGTAAGTTAACAGAAGAGCTGAGATAGCACTCAAACCCATATCGCATTATGTGACACAACCCTGACACTGCTTCCTAATACACCAGCCCTAATTGATGACATGATCATTATGGCAGCAGAATAAAGTGTGCATGAACCTCTGGTTATTTGCTGATGGTCGCCAGAGAATCATGATGACAAAGAGGATCATGGAAAACAGCAATCGCCAAATGGCATCATCCACCCACAGTTCCCGCCAGTCCTACAATAAAGGGGAAAAAAAATATAACACTTATTATCTTAACAGTGTTCACAATCCCTTGGCACAGAACAACAATCACTATTGTTAAAAGAAAGTCATCTGACATCTGGAAAGAGCACCTGTTAAAGCTTCATCACAGTTCTGAGAATCTTTTGTGGACTTTTTTTTTTGACACAGGGTCTGCCTATAGCCCCAGCTGGCCTAGAATTCACTATGTAGACTAGGCAGGGCTTGAACTCAGAGATCTACCTGCCTCTGCCTCTGGGATTTAAGGTGTGCACTAACATGCCCAGCCTTAAATTCTTAAGCATTTTTTAAATTTTATTATTTTTATTTTATGTGTATGCATGTATTGCCTGCATGCAGGTAAGTAAGTGCACCTGTGTCATGCAATGCCTGCGGAGGTCAGAAGAGGCTGTTGGATCCCCTGGGACTAGAGTTACAGACAGCTGTTAGCTGCCATGTGGGTGCTGGGATTCGATTTGAACCCAGGTTTTCTGCAAGAACAACCAGTGTTCTTAACTGCTAAGCCATTTCTCCAGCCCCACATTCTTAAGCCTTTTAAGAATCTTCTCACTCTACTCAATGTCATCTTCATGTATAAATAAGACAGTACTTTATTAATAAACGTATGTGTTTATAACTTACCGACTGGCAAGTCACTATTCTGAACTTCATGGTTGTCCAGATGATGAACACAATAGATGCTAAAATGAAAGAACTTGGTCAGAACATGAATGGTGGCTTACATTCCTAATACATCATTCACTGATCCTAAATAAGCAGAATTCCATACTCCTGACCCCAAAACATTATTATCACTTTTATTTTCACAAATACAGTCAATCTAAACTTATTAAAATATCTACTATAGCCAGGTGTGATAGTACATGACTTTAATCCCAGCACTTGGGAGGCAGAGGCAGGTGGATCTCTGTTAGTTCCAGGCCATCTGGGGCTACTGGGAGACCCTGTCTCAAAAATAACAACAAATCTACTTTAAGTAAGGCCCATAATATATAACAACCTCCATGTTGCCAACATTACCTGTAAAGAATACCCTTATGTCAAGGTAGGGTGGGGTAGGTAGGGAGCACACATTCTTTAATCCCAGCACTTGGGAGGCAGAAGCAGGTAGATCTCTGAGTTTGAGGTCAGCCTGGTCTACACAGTGAGTTCTAGGCCAGTCAGAGTTACATAATAAGACTTTGTCTCAAAACAAAGAGAATAGTTTTCAATAATTTTGTCTTTATCATCTGACTACTTTAGTAACCTCAAATTGGAACAGAAGCTACTGGAAATGTGGCTTTTATCAGCATTGTCAATATAAATTTTTCTTTCTTTTAGTGTATGGTGCTAATTTTCCAATGGCTAGTCAGATGAAAAAATGGTTGACAACACAACTGCAATACAAACAGAGCAGCTGGTTCCAATCATAGGTCAAATCTAACTACTCTTGGTACAAGAGTCAAGAGGCAGGCACATTAGCATGGTTTAGATACAGTCTATCTAAGGTCTGTGTTTTATGTATGTTTAATGACATACATAAAAGCACTGGAATAGTAGTGTGCCCTAATCTACAATTCTACAGCTTTTTAATAGAACCAAGTAAGTAGCTCAGTAGATCACTTGCCTAGTGTGTAAGATGATTCAATCCTTACACACACACACACACACACACACACACACACACACACACACATACCATAAAACCAAATAAGCATGTAAAAATGTCTTCTAAATTAATCACACTATATGGCACACAGTTCCAGTTAATTTGACTTAGAAATGATGGCATATATCTACTCCAATCCTTGGAAGCCTGAATATGAGAGCACCAGGAACTTAAGGCCAACCTGGGCTACATAGCAAGATCCAGTCAAGAAAAGGAAAAAAGGTACTTGCTTGAAGAAACAGAATGCCTCAAAAGAATGGATATATGTGCAGAAATTATGAAATTTAGTTTTTTCACTAATATATTTAAAAATGAATGGCTCTTGTCATGCATGGTGGGACAAGCCTTTAATCCCAGCACTTGGAAGGCAGAGGCAGGTAGATTTCTACGAGATGGAGGCCAGCCTGATCATACTGAGTTCCAGGTCGGTTGGGGCTACACGGAGACCATGTCTCAAAAAACAAAAGAAAAAAAGAATGGCTCTTAAAGTCTTAAAAATTTATTATACTGGGGATGGAGAGATGGCTCAGCAGTTAAGAACACTGGTTGTTCTTGCAGAAGACCCGGGTTCAAATCCCAGTACCCACATGGCAGCTAACAACTGTCTGTAACTCCAGTTCCAGGGGATCCAACAGCCTCTTCTTGTCCTCCGTGGGCACTGCATGACAAGGGTGCACTTATCTACAGATAGGCAATACACGCATACACATAAAATAAAAATAATAAATAAATATTTTTTTGAAAATTTACTATTAAAGTTTTTATTTGTGGGGTGATATGGATTCCTGTAGGTGAGTGCACATGAGTGTGGAGGCCAGAGATGAATGACCAGTATCTTTTTCAATCACTTCTCCAACTTGTTATTTCAGACTGAACCTGGAGTTCACCAACTGGCTAGACTGGCTGGCCAGCAAGCCGCAGGGATCCTCCTGTCTCCGCCTCTCCAGAGCCAGAATTATGGGTACATGATGTCACACTCAGCTTTTGTGTGTATGGGTGTCACACCATCTCCAATGGAGCCCACATGAGATCCTCCGTGGGTCGAGGCTGGAACTTCAAGGAAGGTTGCCTCTTGGAGTTGGTTGTGCTGAGAAACATGCAGTGTACTTGGCATGCTTTACTTGCTATTATTTTTCTGTCACTGTATCTTGGGCTTTCTGGGGGCCCGGAAAGCACCTGGTGTCCTTGGCACCGCTATCACTACCTTTATTAAGATGAAATAGTTATGTTTATAAGTCCCATACTTGGAAGGATTTCATGAGAGCTACAGGATTAGAATAGGATATTGATGTAACTTGGGGTTTGGAACATATTAATGAATAAGGAAAAATAAAAGATAGATATATAGCAACATTGTTGTGTATCACCTAGAATTCAAACAGAAACATTAATAATTACAGAGCTAGTATTGAAAGTACAATAGTGGTTTGAGGTCAGCTCACCGGGTAACCACAAAACATAAAGGTCTCTAATGTAACTCACTAAGATGAAAAACAAACTTTCTCTTTAGTGTTAGTTAAAGTTTGACAATGTATTGTTCACCTGTGTTTCACTTTTGTCTCTGGAATCAGAACTCTTAAAAAATGGTTAAACTGTAAAACAATGGCTTACTGATGTAATCATGTAACTTTGTAATTTATAATCTGAGCTCTGCAGCTGCAAAATTACACTCAGACTTGCACCAACTCCTGTGTGTTTGTCTGTTTGTCATTCGCCGAATCCTTGTCCACCCTTTCGGGGACCCTGCTCCCGTCGGACTGAACTGCTCCGGTCTGGGCTGGTCCGATGCTGGGAATTGAACCTGGGTCCTCTGCAGAGCAGTCAGTGCTCTTAACCGCTGAGCCATCTCTCCAGCCCCCAGAACAGAAATTCTTAACCTGAGAGGCTATCAGTAGTTACAGAGAGCAGAGAGTTTTTTTTCATTTTATTAAAAGAAAGCATTCTTTTTGTCTAGTCTTTTTCCAGAGCTGAGGACCGAACCCAGGGCCTTGTGCTTGCTAAGCAAGTGCTCTACCACTGAGCTAAATCCCCAACCCTTCAAAGAAAGCATTCTTAGCTCTAATCAAAATCTCTAAAGGATTTATAACTTTTAAAAAAAGTTATTTATTTTTTTATTTTATATGTATGATTGTATTGCCTGCATGTGTGTAAGTACACCCATATCATGGTCAGAAGAAGGCTTTGGATTCCCTGAAACTGGAGTTAGAGATGGTTGTTAGCTGCCATGGGGGTGCTGGGAATTGAACCCAGGTCCTCAGTGCTCTTGGCATCTCTCCAGTCCCGGATTATGACATTTTAAAAGAGATTAAGTTTTGGGGGGCGGCTCAGGCAAGTGCTACCCAAGCATAAGGACTGGAGTTCCTACTATTCATGTAAAAAACCCAGGTGTGGGGGCTAAGAAAATGTTTCAGTAGGGAAGGTGCTTGTTGTTCAAGCATGAGAACCTGAGTTCAGTTCCCCAGCACCCTTGTAAAAAAGCTCAGCATGGTGACTTGCACCTGTAATCCTAGCACTAGAAGGCCGAGGTAGGAGGATATCTGGAGCTCTCAGACCATCTAGTCTTCCCAAATTCATGAGTTACAGGTTCAGTGAGAGACCATGTCTCAGAAAATAAGTTGGAAAGTGATAGAAAAAGACACCTGGCCTTGACCTCTGACCTCTACATGCATGTGCACCTATGTGTGCACATAACCTCCCCCAACACATACACCATCCTTACTTAACTCCAGTTCCAGGGGAATTCAACATCCTCTTTTGACCTCCATGGCACTGCATGACATGGGTGCACTCACATACACGCAGGCAATACACTCATACACATAAAATAAAAATAATAAATAAAATATTTTTTTTAAAAAAAGAATTTCTGTTCTGAAAGAATCACATGATCATTTTTCAACACAAAGAAAATTCCCGACTTACCTGCCACTGCCAAGATAAGTGTATTGGTGAAATGCCGGTACAAAGACAGCTTTACAATGTTCCTCCGAAGTTTTAATAGCTTCATTGTTTGAGTCAAGCTAATAAATATGTGTTTCCAAGTCAAGGAATTAAACGTTCAGAAAGTTAAGTTACAAATCTCAGTGATCTTACAGCTGTCTTACTTAATCTCACAAATACAAACTCACCATGATTACCAGTAAGATACAGAAAAGAGGACAGAACCAGGGTAAGATAAGAATGGAAAAATAAAAGGAAAAAATACAAAGAAAAAAACAGGAACCAGACTTGCTAGAAAAAAAAGTTAAAGACGAAAAAAAAGACAAAGTGACATACAAGGGACAGAGTATCAAAGATAGCACTTCGTCCTCAGCAGGCCTGGCTAATCTGCCTTCAAACCATAATTACACTTGCATCCACAAATACACTGTCCCCCCACCTCCCCATAGTGCCATCTTATACAACTACTATCATCTGCTGGCACTATGGTTAAGGCCCAACTGCCTGAGAATCCCAGGCAATTATCCAAAAGCAGTGAAGCTTCATTTTAATAACATTATTCCCAAGTAGAAGTTCTCAAGGAAGGACAAAAAGGGAACTAAGGATTATTATGGATATGTCTGTTCTCACATTCAACTTTCAGAATGAGAAACAGAGGTTTATGAGATGGTTCCGCTGGGTAGAGGTACTGAATATCCAACAATGCAAGACTGACAGCCTGAGTTCCATCCCCAGAACCCAAAAGTGGAAGGACAAGACCTAAAACACAAATTTGTCCTCTGAAACTCCCCATGTGTACTGTGGCGCAACCCCCTCCCCACCCCCCAACAGAAACACACACACACACATAAAAATTAAATGTGAATAAATAAAGGGGCTAGAAGGAGGGCTCAGCAGTTGAAAGTGCATGCACTCTTGCAGAGAACCCAGGTTAGGTTTCCAGTACCCACACCAGGCAGCTTACAACTGCTTGTAACTCTAACTCCAAGATATCCAATGCCCTCTTCTGGCTTCCACAAGCAGTGTACTCACACGCAAAAAAAACCACACAGGTACATACATAGACACATAATTTAAAATAAAAATGGAATCTTATTACATATAAGGGAGCTTGAGCTTGCTGTGCCTTTACCAGATCCTTCACTGTTTCTTAATCCTATCTTACCCTTCACTCTCCCAATACTCACAGAGTCACTAAGTATACTTGGCAAGATACTAATCTAGAAAAGTTTTGGTCATTTAGACACTTTAATTTTGATCTTTTTTGCTATACTCACTCAAATTCACAAAATTACATTTTTTTTCACACTGTTTTTTATAACCATTACAATCTGTCAAGGCAGAAATACTACAAATTTCACTAGGATCAAATATATGCAGACCAAAAAGAAAACTTAGAATACCCCTAAAAGATAAATTATAAAAACTTAAGTGTTTAAGGGAAAGGAGAAAATAATCAAATAGTAACTTGTTTGTAAGCTGCCTTTTTTGGTGAATGAATCAGTATTTATTCTGAAGGGTTAAAGTTTTCAGAACATTCCAATTCAGCTTTTGAAAGAACAAGACACTCCTCCTTCCTAGAGCTGAAACTTGCTAACTGTACTTAAGAGACTTAGAAGAATCAAACCCCTCAAGTAGTTCCTGAAAACACATTTTACGGATCAAACATTTTTCATAAACTTCATAATTGCTAGACCAAAAGAAAGAGCAGCACCAGCACGCCAATGATTCTCATACCAAGTAAGATAAACAAATAATATCCAAAATCAAGAGGACACGCTCATTTTAAAAAAAGCAGAAACTTTTAGTTGTGCTTAGCAACTGAATTCTGTGATCTTAAGAATTAAAAAACAAACAAAAAACTGCTTACCTGCACCCCCAAGCTGTTAACACATAAAATATACCATTTCCCAATTAAGGAGAAATCAACAGAAAGATTAATGGAAAGCAATCTCCAAGGGGAGAAAATGGACTGCCATCAAACAAGCCAACGAGAAGGATATCCACCAGCACAGGGCAGTGTCTAGGAAAGCCAAGGGTATAAAGGCCAAGGAAGCAAGATCAGTCTGGGCCTGCAGACAAAGAAAATGAGGTGGTGAAAACAGATGGCTAGAGAGGCACAGAGAAGAAACCAGCACACAATTCTGCATTTATACAGTCAGCCAGAATGATGTGGCATTTGAACTGAAAGAAGACTATCAGGGCTAACACTTGGCTTCTGATCACTCTTCCCTTCTTACAAACCTAAACAGAGGGCATTCAGCTGTAAGTACTTTACACAAATTGTCAATTACAATCGTAATTCAATGAAACTGCTGCTAAATACTACCATAGAATTCCTAGCACACTAGACTCATTAAGAGATGACAACACAAAAAAGTCCTAGTGCTTATAACCCCATCCCGTCAGGATTTCCTATCACTGCCATTTAAGCTAACACTAAAAAGATACTTCTCACATTTTAAGTAATTATTGTTATCATTAATACACTAAGAATTATTGATTCACAAAATTGTAACAATGAAATTTTACGAACAGTAACTCACCCTTCAAATAAAACGTAAGCAGTTACATTTAACCAAAACTACACTGCTAGCTTTCAGAGGTATAAACATATAAATGTAAGATGCTTTTTTTTTTTGTCTTTTTGAGACAGGGTCTCCTTGTAGCCCCAGCTGTACTGGAACTCACTATGTAGACAAGGCTGGCCTCAAACTCACAAAGATCTGCCACCTTTGCCTCCCAAGTGCTGGGATTAAAGGTGTGCGCTATGACGCCCAGCAATGTAAGATGCTTTTTATATACTCCTAACAACCCAATCACCGGAGAATTATTGAAAGGATATCCATAAAATAATACAGGCATCAATTGCTGAGAGGGCCAGGCTTACTATCAGAGCCAAGGAGTAAGAAAAATACTACAGCAGCAGAAGAAAGAAAACACAATCAATAGAGGGTTAGTTGCTAAGAGTTTAAAGAAAGTACATACGAAGGAAAGTGTGTGTTGAAAAGCAGTTTTACAATCACAAATACTGAAAGAAAGCACTGCTAAACTTAGCGAGCCAACTATACAGAATTTAACAGGGGTAATAGAATCCGATTTTTAAATAATTTTAATGCCCCAAAGGGCCTACTTCACATTAACTCAACTCACGAATCAATTTCGTTATCACTCACATCTTTATGCTTTAGTTTTCTTCCTTGGCAATGGATGACGTGAAACTTAATTGCATCTAAGCCTTTATATTTCAAGTGCTAGGAAAGCAATCAAGTTGTTGCTTTAGATTAGATGAGCCAGTAAATAGGCATCAATTGCCTGGGAGACAATTTGTGGACAGATGGGCAGGTACTCATGGATCATACCCTAAACTTATGAAGCTCTAACAGAGAAAATTAGGAAAAAAAAAAAAAACCACTTAAGTTATATAGGTTGAACATCCCTAATTCAAAAACGCCAAACCTATGACATTAAATACTTTGAGATTTTGAAGCATTGCAGATGTTAGATTTTTAGATCAACAGATGCTCAGCCAGTAGTCTATACAAACATTCCAAAATCTGAAAAGCTCTCAAATCTCAAACACTCCTGAACCTCAGCATTTCAGATCAGTACATGCCTTTTGAAAATCAGAACCCACAGACAACAAAAGAAAAGCAGTCCACAGACACTTCAACTCACGTTCTCAAGACAAAAACATTAAAATTGAACTGATCATAAAAATTCAAACTAAGAAAACTTCATAAATAAAAAAACAATCCTGTCTAAGCAATACTGACCCCTGTAACTCTGAGGACACCTTCCATGCCAGAGAACAAAAGATAGAGGGCTCCTGCCACCACAACCTTGTGAAGAGTGACTCCAAGGCGAGGCCTAAAAAGGAAGCAAAGAGACAGCCAACTGAGTACACAAGCAGCAAGTCACAAGGCAAGCTAACTGTTGGGGACGAGTGGCAATTAGTACAGATCAAGTCAGTGACAACACATACCTGATTCACCTGAGAGAAAGAAAACCACACCTAAGATCAACAGGTCTTTAAAAAAGACAAGAATACTATAACTTAAGATCTGGTCCTTTGTTACTACATTTTTAAAACTATCATAGAAAATTTTGGAAACATATTAAAACCTAGAATAAACCCCAATAAACAAACCCATCACTGTCCCAACAACTACCAATCTATGTCTAATTCTGTCCAATGCACACCCCATTAATTTTCCATCCTTTTATATTATCTAGAAAAATGTTCCAATCAGTGTATCTTTTTATCTGTGTATGGCTCAGCACGTGATTTTTAAAAGATGTGGACTTTGGGGCTAAAGAGATGGCTCAGCAGTTAAGAGCACTGGCTACTCTTGAGAGGATGTAGGTTTAGTTCCCAGCACCCACATGCAGCTAACAACCATCTATAACTCCAGCTCCAGTGGATCCAATGTCTTCTTCTGATTCCTGTGAGCATTGCATGACACCTATGCGCTGACATACATGCAGGCAAAACACTCATACACATATGGCACCCTGCCTTAAACCAAGAACTACAACAACAAAACATAAACTCAGTAACATTAGCAAATCTTGCAGTTCATTACCTAACATCAAGCTTAAAACTCAACTAAAAATAAGGTTTTTTAGCAACCTCTATTAGAAAGTGGAAAAGCCTTGAATCCTAATATTCAAAAATCCTACTGAATCAGAATCTATATTTTAACAAAACTACCAGGTGGCTCATAGTATATAGACTGAGATCCACTGGCTTCAATTATATCTTCCTAAGCCATATATATCTATACTGCTATATCCAGCTAGGAAGACCTCCATAAGGGTAGAGAACCTTCCTCTACTGATGTATCTTATAAATCCTGAATATGTAATCACATTTAAAAAGGTAAATATTTGTTAAATAATTTTAAGTATTAACTCCTTGCTTAATGTTAAACTCCTTGAAATACCTGTTTCTCTCTGGACTATTCCTGTCCTATTCTCTCTTGAATTCCCTCTAATTGGGTTTTTATTTCTATCATTTCACCAAAACTATTCTTGTTATGATCACTAACATTCTCCATTCTGCTAAATTCAATAATTAATTCTCAGTCCTCTTATTTGACCTATCAGAGCATCTGATTCAATTAGTAATTCTTCCTTGAAACAGAGTCTTCAGTTTGTCTCCACCCTCAATGGTCACTCCTCGATTTCCTCTGCTAACTCTACTGCATGCTGCTGACTCCAAACAGAAATTGTGCAAAGACCCAGTCTTTGAATCTTTTCTATCTCATTCACTTCCTTGGTGACCAAATCTAGTCTCATGACTTTAGATAGTATCTGCATCTTGATGACTTTCAAATTTCTTTTTTCTGGTCTTTTTGAGACAGGGTCTCCCAGTAGCCCAGCTGGCCTCAAACTCACAGAGATCCACCTACCTCTGCCTCCCGAGTCCTGGGATTAAAGGCATGAGCCATCACAGAGGTTCAAAGTTCTTTTTAAAAAAAATTTATTATTTTTATCTTATGTATATGAGTGTTTTGTCTGCATGTATGTGCCCTCAGAGGAAGAGGGCATTGGATCCCCTGTAACTAGGGTTATAAATGGTTATTAGCCGCCATGTGGGTGCTGGGAACTGAACCCAGGTCCTCTGCAAAAGCAGCCAGTGCTCTTAACTGCTGAGCCATCTTTCCAGCCCCTCAAACCTCTATGTTGGCCTCAGCCTCTCCCCAGGTTATCTAGCTAAGCTCTTAATCTTGCCATGGTGCCAAGCCAATTCCACCTAAGGTCTTCCTGCACTCAGGAAATGTCAACTCCCTCCTGCCACTTGAGCAGACCCAAACAGGTGGCATCATCCTTAGTTCCTCTTCTTTTACATCAAACATCTGATCATCAGGAAATTCTACTGGCTCTACCTTCAAAACATGTATAGAATCTGATCACATCTCAACATCTCTTCCTCTGGGTGAATAGACAGTCCCCTTGCTTTCTTGGAATCTTTGCTTGGATGTCACTAAGTGAGGCCTTCCTGCCACCCTATTTATAACTGCAAGTTGAAACTCCTGCTAAGTACTCCTTGTTCGATTTACTCTGCTCTGTAGTACTTTTCACTGATATACTGCTTATTTAACTCATTTCAATTTTGTCTGTGTTCCCTTCCTCTACAAATGTAAACCCCCAATATTTTATCTGCTGTATACCAAGGGCATTACACAACATGAGTACACTTATATACATGCAGGCAACACACTCACACACATAAAATAGAAATGATAAAATATTTTAATTGTTTAAAAATATCCTTTTATCAAATTTTTCAGAACTACCATGTTCTAACTTGCAACAGTGCTTCAATTTAATCAGGCATCTTCATTCAGAAGCTAATACTCACTTGACTATGCCATATCCCAGACTCACTATGATGACCAGGGTTCGAGCCAGTGAGCGTTTCACTGCTGAAAGCAGTTCTGCAAGAATCAAGGCATCCTGGACTATGTGAAAGAAAGGAAAAAATGACACTATATACTCAAGCTCAATCAAAAGCACAATCTCAATACTAGAATGTAGGTCTCTAACACTTCAGAATGAACACAAGTATTGGACCTACTAAGAAAGAATAGCTCTTGTACAATTTTTGCAAGCACATAGGCTAATATAACTAGTGCTTTTACTCACTTGCACAACCAGGGATGCTCAACTTACTACTTATCCCCAACTTCACTAAAAACTTAAGAGTATCTTACCCTATATAGAAAGTCTGCGGCATCGGAGCCGAGCGTGGTGGTGCACACCTGTAGTCGCAACACTTAGGAGGCAGAGGCAGGCAGATCTCTGTGAGTTCAAGGCCAGCCTGGTCTACATAGTGAGTTCCAGGACAGCTGGGGCTACAGGGAGACCCTATCTCAAAAAGACAAAAAAAGAAAGTTTGCAGCATCAAGGGACTCTCCCTACCATTTTTTACAATCTGTGAATTACAACTATGCATGGAAAAGCACAATGCACACACATATACCCATACGCATGTGCACAGTTTTCAACTTCACATCTGCTATTTTTCTTTTTTAAAAATATTTTATTATTATTTTGGGGGGGGGGCCTTTTTTCTGAGACAGGGTCTCCCTGTAGCTCAGGCTGGCCTGGAACTCACTATGTAGACCAGACTGGCCTTGAACTCAGAGATCCTCCTGCCTCTGCCTCCTGAGTGCTGGGATTAAAGGAATGTGCCACCATACCTGGCTTTATTATTTTTATTTTATGTATGTGAGTCTATTGTCTGCATGTATGTAAGTACACCCATGTCATGCAATACCTGCAGAGGTCAAAAGTGGGCATGAGATCCCCTGGAACTGGAATTATGGATGGCTGTTAGCTGCCATATGAGTGCTGGGAATTGAACCTAGGTCCTCTGCAAGAATATCTAGTGCTCTTAACTGCTGAGCTAACTCTCTAGTCCCAACATCTGCTATTTTCAAGCTCTTCAAAGACTTGGGTAAAAAGACCTGGAAAGATCGCTCCATGGTTAAGAGCACTGGCTGTTCTTGGAGAGGACTGGGGTTTGGTTTCCAACACACACATGGCATTCACAACTGTCCATAACTCCAGATGAAACACCATCTTCTGGTCTTCTTGAACACTGTACACATGTCGTGTACATACATATATGTGCAGGCAAATCACTCATACACATTAAAAAAAAAAACTTCTAAAAAAAAAAAAAGAAAACCTGGAAAAGATCTAATTAATATATCTTGCAACAACAATTAATAATCAAACTTAACAATTAACTCCTTAAGAACAATTAATAATCAAACTTAAGAATGTCTTAAGTTTTCTCAATAAACATCACCACAAAACAATTCCCATTATAGTCAGCTAACCTTACTAAATTATAAGCATCTTCCTATTCTCTTGGTATTGCTGGCATTGTTTCTTTCTTTCTTAGATACATGCAATAATGCTACCTCAAGTATCAATGGCAATTGAGATTTAAGGATGGCATTAATCACTTCCTAACAGTCACTACTTTTATAATTTGTTTGTCGATTTCAAAAGTATTCTCATGCTACCATGAAAATACAAGATTAAAAGTAAAAGTCACAATGTCAGGGATTCTGCTTTAGTTACTTTAATAAATAACTGAAAAGTCCTATCTATGTAATGACTGCTGGCCTGAGAAAAATTCTCATGCAGTCATTAAAAATAGCAAATCTGGGGATAGGGAAAAGGCTCAGCAATTAAGAGTGTATATTGCTCTTACAGAGGACCTCAGGTTGGTCCTCAGCCCCACGTCAAGCAGCTTACAACTGTCTGTAACCCCAGCTCCAGAAGAATTCAATGTCCCTAACCTCCACAGGCACCTGCACATGCACATACCCCACCTCCCAAACAAATAATTTTAAAAATAAATCTTTTTAAAAGCTGGCAAGATGGTTTAGTGGGGAAAGGCACCTGCTGCCAAGCTTGAGGACCTAAATTCAATCCCTGGGACACACGTGGTAGGTAAGAAGTAACTCCCTCAAGTCCTCTGACTCCACACACATGCTATGGCACATGTACCTTCCTCTCCCCACCCCAGTCCCCAGAAAATAAATGTTTTTTCCTATGGCAATCTTTTCACATACCAGATTCTCCTTTATAACGAATATTCTGGAATTCTGCATAAAAGACAGCTTTCTCAAACATTCCCAGAAAGATGACAGCACCAATCCAAAACTGAATTCTCAGGAGATCTCTCCAGTAGCAGGCAGACCATGCCAGCCAGAGAACACCAAAAAGGACATATACAATACACATCACCATGAAAAACTGTCATCAAATTGGGAAAGAGATAAAAAGGAGAATTAGGGCAAAGAGCAAGTATTTAGATTTTAAGACAATATACAGTATAACAACTACAAAAACAGATTCTGTCTTCCATTTGAAAAATTTGTAACCTCCAGTGTGTACTAACAAAGACTGATCCAGTTTTATCAAGAGATGCAGAGTATAAAAAAGACTTTACTTTTCCCCTGGTCTAACTGTTCTTTGTATTAATTGAGCCTTTTTAGTTCACAATCCAGTGATAAAAATGAAGGCAACAGTGAAGAGAAAAAAAGGCATGGCAAGGTAAACATGCATCTAGAGGCAAGAAAACACAACGGAAAAGGAAAACTACTAAAAGTGTAGGAAGAAAGAGCGATTTTGAACAATGTCCGCAAAGAGATTAAGTATATTCTCAGCATAGGCCACACACTCCATGAGGAAGAAGAAGTTCCACTGTTTTGTTTCTGTAAGTGGGCTCAGACGTGAAATGGTCATAGGAAGATGAGCCTGTTTTGGAACCTAAAGCATATGAGCTGTGAGATGTCACAGAGACATTCCAAGTTTATACTTCACAAGTCATTGGCTTTTTCTTTTCATAGATGAGGTCCACAAGGCTAAACTAAGCCTCTTAAGGTCACAGTCCAGTAAAAAAAAGATCAAAACCTCAGGTAACATTTTCTGACCTGCATGGGGATAATTTTCTAATAAAGAATATTGCTACAAAACATGGAAAATTTTTGAGCTAAATTTATTTAATGTCAAGGTTAAAAATACAAGTTCACTTACAATCATCAATGGGTAGTCTTCAAGAGTAAGGTATTCATAGGGGCCCTTCACTTCAACAGTCACTGCCAAAACACAGGACTCAGAATTAAATTAAGAAATTACTAAAAGAACTTCCATCCTGGTGAATATTACATTAGATAGAGTAACTGAAATTCATGAATCACTCTCCTAGTTCATTATTTGCCCTGCATAGGCTCCAACATCCTTACTCCAGTCTTAGGTGGGAAAGACCTTTTCCCATTTGCATGTTCTTGTGTGGACCTGTCCAGGTTGAGCATGCACATGTGTGCACATGTATGTGGAGGCCCAAAAGACAACCTTATAGGTCAATCCTCATGTGCCATCCACTTTCTTTTCTTTTTTTGAGACCGGAACTCACCATGTAGGCTAGGCAGCTGGTTAGAGCGCACCAGGGATTCACCTGTCTCTGCCTCCATGGTGCTAGGATTACAAGTACACAACACCAAACCTGTTTTTTTAATTTTTGTTTTAACATGAGTTTTGAGCACTGAACTGCAAGCATTTTATAAGTACTTCACCACTGACCTCCCCAGTCGCGTGCTCATATTCTTTAAGGATTAGACTGTGATACTCTTCCTGAAAGCCATCCCTGAGCTGCCCATCTGAAACTATTCTATGTCCTTTAAATTCCAAATATACTCATTTATACGTTTTACAACATATCCCTAACCTTCTCTATAGAACTTCCTTGTTCATTCTATTACTATCTTCTGTCCACCCTTACCTGTATTTTCCTAATGCTTTATTGGGTTTGTTTTACTGATTTTAATTTATGTGATCGTGCAAGATTGATATCACTTTAAAAATGCAAAGTACTTTTTAAACATTACAAATTCATACTAATTTATGCAAGTTAATAGACCCTCCCTGATAAAATAAGATATAAAAATAATCGGTTCCTAAATATGTAACCAGGATCTTACTCAAATATGAAAAACAAAGTTCAAATGAAAGCAAAGCACCATCTAGTAAAATCAGAACTGGACTTTGCCACAACTTGTTAGCTAACATTTTATAAAAACTTGGTTAATGAATAGCGTTTTAAAAAAGTGTTACTTACAAGATGAACTGGAAAGTTTTGCCTCATTGAAGCAACCCTACAGACTATAATATTATAATTGACACAACTACGTACATGAACTAATTTGAGCCAGGAATGGCAGAATATAACTGCAATAACATTTGGAAGGTAGAAACAGGAGGATCAAGAGTTCAGGGTCAGCTCAGCTATATAATGAGTTTGAAGCCAGTCTGAGTCATGAAAGACCTTACCTAAAACAACAACAAACAAACAAAAAACCCTAAAAAACTGACTGACTAAAATTTGGATAAATTCTAGCTTTGGTTGATAAGTGAAAACTGATTTAGCTGGGTTTAGTGTATAACTGAAATCTCAGAACTTGAAAAGCAGACGCAGGAGGACTAAGGCCTTTGATGCCAAGTTCTATCACATTTTAATAAGAAAGAGGCCATGTACATAGCACATGCTCATAATCTCGGCACTCCAAGGCTGAGGCACAAAGACTGTGCAAGTTTGAACCCGGCCTGGAGACATTTAGACCTTCTCTCAAAACAAAACAAAGTATCTGGACTAAGACTATAACTCGGCAGTAGAGCACTTGTCTAGCATATGTAAGGTACTAGGTTCAGTCCCCCCAGCACCACACATAAAAAAGATAATTCTAGGCTTTCAGATGGTATTAACCCTGTCTTAATATATCTTTATAGTTCCAAATAACAGATATATGAAAATATTTAAAACAGAAAAAAAAAGACATAAGCTTGAAAACAAGTCAAATATGTCTAGGAATCAAGATGGAATGGAAACAGAACAGTGCAGGAGGGTGGAGCTAGGGTCACAGTGAACTCTGAGCACAAAAGCAGACTATGGCAGTTTTAGTTCCTTTGGAGTCAAAAAAGAAGAGGGACCAGAATCAGGTTTGATGAATGAAGTAGATGAAATGGGGTGAAGCAGAGCTTCCTTCCTATCCTTTTCAAAAGTTGGCTGAAAATAAATACCAGCAACTGCTTCCTTCAGTCTATTTATTATTCACTAGGAAGATGAGGGCTGATATAATACGCAAAATGGCTGGAAAGAGGAAAGCCAAAAAAGCTGGTCCACAGAGATAAAACAAAATTCCAAAGAGATTTAACAAGTTAGAGAAGCCAAAAGCAATATTAAAGTTTTTATTATTTATTTTTAATTCTTGGTCTTACATATGTGCATACGTGTATGCCGGTGTAGGTGTGATTGTAAAGTCCATGTGTACATGAGTATGTAGGTATGCACATGTATGTGTAGAGTCTAGAAGTCAAAGCCAGGTGTCTTTCTCAGTTGACCTTCACCTTAGCTTTTGAGACAGGGTCTCTCACTGAACTTAGGACTCACTCACTGTTCAGGGATCTGACTGTCTCTGCTTCCCCAATGCTAGGGATTATGCTGCTGTGCCTAACTTTTCATATGGGTGCTGGGGACCCAAACTCAGGTCCTTAGGCTTGAGCAGCAAGTACTCTACTGGCTGAGCCATATTCCCAACCCCTCATTTCTGGGTTTTTGAAACAGGGCCTCATGTAGCCCAAGTTGGCCTCAAATTCCCTATGTAGTCAAGGATAACCTTGAATTTCTTTTCCTCTTGCCTCCACTTCTTTTTTGTTGTTGTTGCTTTATTTATTTTTATTTTATGTCTACGGGTGTTATGCGTACATGTACGTAAGTGCACCCATGTCACTTAGTGCCCATGGAGGACAAAAGAGGGTGTCAGGTCCCTTGAAACTGGAGTTAGAGATGGTTGTTAGCCACCATGAGGGTGCTGGGAACCGAACCTCGGTCCTCTGTAAGAACAGCCAGTGCTCTTAACTGCTGAGCCATCTCTCCAGCCCCAAGCTGCCATCTCTCCAGCCCCAAGCCTCCATCTCTTAAGGGACTGGGATTGTATTAGTGCTTACCACCCAGCAATATTAATATTTTTAAAGATTCAGATATTTGTAAAGAAATTATGAAAAACTGTCAGTCGTTTTATAAATTTTGAATGGACAGTTTCCCAAAACATACACAGAGAAACTGAAGCACAAAAAAAAGTTAGAACAAAAGTTTTAAAGTTTTAAAGAAATAGTTTTAAAGAAAACCTATTTAGGTTGGCAGACAAAAAGAGTATCAGATTGAAACAGTATTACAAGAAAGTTTTATCAGATACTCATGAAATAAATAGCTTTACCCTTTAAAACTGTTTTGTTATAAAATAAAAATAAATAAAGCAACAAAAAAGAAGTGGAGGCAGGAGGAAAAGAAATTCAAAAATACAAAATAGCATACAAAATAAGGTCCACTCTCCAATTCACTGCATGAGATTACCATAACTTGGATGTTAAACGTAAATGATAGTATGAGAAAAGAAAATTATAGACAACTTACTTTGAACATAGACAATAAATTTAATCCTAGAAAAAGGAATCCAACAATACATGTATATGTATCAGAAGGTATGGGTATAGTGTGCTATCGTGACCAAGCAGTAGTACTGCAGATTTAAAGAATGGTTTCAAATTAGAAACCAGCAACATAATACGCTGAACTGTCACATTGAATAAGAAAGCCTACTTTTTTTTTTTTTTAAGTTTTGTTTTGTTTTTTGAGACAAGGTCTTGCTATATAGCATGGGTTGTCCTAAAACTTGCTGTGAAGCTCAAGTTGGTCTCAAACTTATGATCCTTCTGCCCTATCCTCCAGAGTGCTAGGATTATAGGTATATGAATATGCCATCATGCCTGGCCTATACATGATAGTTTCAATCAATATATAAGTAAACTATTGATTAGACTGAGCATTCCTTCTTAGCATTAAAAGAAAATACTTAGTAAGCTAAGAACTGAAAACATATTCAATCAAATACAGTACTTTGAAAACTCTATAGTAAACACTGTACATTTAAAAGTAGAATGTACTGGGGCTGAAGAGATGGCTCAGTGGTTAAGAGCATTGACTGCTCTTGCAGAGGACCCAGGTTCAATTCTCAGAAATTACATAGTGGCTAACAACCACCTGTAACTCCAGTTCCAGGAGATCCAACACCCTCTTCTGACTTCCCTAAGCATTACACAACACAAGTGCACTTACATATATGCAGGCAAAACACTCATACACATAAAATTTAAAAAAAAATTTTAGGTAGAATGTAGCAATATTGCCAGTAAAGTCAGCAGTAAGACAAGGATGGCTGCCATCATTGTTTCTATTCAATAATCTGCTTAAGGAAGCAAGGGTGGGGAAGGAAACTACAGAGTGGGGAAAAAGCCAAGAATGGAAACCACAGAAAATACAACCAACTACTGCAAAACTGTAAGTAAGAGGTGAAGACTTCAACAACTGTACAGCCACAGGGGGAAAAAAATTCTTGAGATGTTAAGAAATTTTCAATGTTTATTAATTACAAATTTCCAAGTTCTAACATGATAACAGAAGTTTGAAAATTCTACTTCAAAATTTTCACAGAAAGAAGGTCAAAGAAAGTAAAATAAAATCAAGTTATCTGTGATATCTAAAAAGAAAGTACCTGGGACTGTATCTGAATGTTGAAAAAAAGGTTAATTTTTCTACTCCAATTTTTCTACTTCATGGCTATCATGCATGAAATCAATAGATATTAACGTATACTTTTAAAACAAATAAACCGAACTTACTAGTAAAAAGATTGCCGAATGCATTTTCTTTTGATGATTCCTTTGAGGATGAAATGCCAACATGCACAATAAAAATGTATGGTGCATCCTGCCACGTTTGCAACGGTTCGTGCATTGCCTAGAGAGGAAAAGGGGGCATCAAAACCTCAAATTTAAATAAGTCAGAGCACAAAACAGTAATATGAAAATTTCGCTCTAGAATATACCCTAGAAACATGACACTTTCATTCACTGAAACAGCAGTCCCAAGTGACACAAGCCAGTAGTGTATACAATAAAGCAGGCTAGACTATAAATTGTTAAGACACAATATTGTGTAATCTTTCCATGTACAAGTTACAGTCAACCATTTTTACAAAGCTGTATCAATAAAAAGTCAGTAAGTTTAATCTTAATTCATGCTATATTGTTTTATATATCCATATATAAAATTTATATATCCGTATATATAAAAATTTCTGAATGAAGTCCCTTTCCCACACTACCAGAGTTTCCATTGACATGGTTTCACATTTAAATAAAAAATCTAATTTGAAAACACTGAGAAATTTGCTTTTTTTCCAACTGTGTTCTATGATTCTAAAATGTATCACTGCTATTTAATAAACATTGGGTTTTTTAAATATTTTATAATTTTTATTTTATGTGTATGCATGTATTGCCTGCATGTGGGTAAGTGCACCTGTGCTGTGCAATGCCCGTGGACAGAGAGGCTGTCAGATCCCCTGAAACTGGAGTTATAGACAGTTGTTAACTGCCATGTGGATGCTGGGATTCGAATCTGGGTCTTCTGCAAGAACAGTCAGTGTTCTTAACCACTGAGCCATCACTCCAGCCCCATGTTTTATTTTTTTTTTAAACTGGGGGAGCTGGCTCAGTGGTTAAGAGCACTGGCTGGTCTTGCAGAGGATCTAGATTCAGTTTCTAGCACCCATATGACAGATAACAACCATCCATAACTCCAGTTCCAGGGGAATCAATGCCCTTTCTGACTGACCTCTGTGGGCACTGCACACATGTGGTGCACTTACATACATGCAAGCAATACACTCATACACAAAATAAAAATAAATTAAAAAAATTTTTAATTAAAAAAAAAACCCTACCTGTAATATATTTTGGTGGGGTTGGGAGAGGCAAAATCACTGCCTCCTTAAGTAAGGGAACTAAAAAGCCCTTGACTTTGAGGGAAGGTGATTCTTGATTTCCTCATGAACTAGTTTTTACAAACAAGACTAAAATGGAAAGATAAAGGAAATGAGGGCATTAAGTCACTGATTTCTTCTTTCTTGTCTGTGAAAGGAGGTCTTGCTATTGCAATTTATTTCCGTCTGGTCTGAAAAGATTTTATTCAGAGATCTCTAGGTAAGTTTCATTGACCTATGAAATCCCTCAGAGTACATAACAGATTTTATTATTTATGAATTTTTCTGTGAAATCCAGTTTTTTATTCAAATATTCAAAATGTTTTACAAACCCAAGAAAAATTTTAGCATTCAACTCTTAGATTCCATGATACAAATTCAAAGTCAAATAAAGCACATAAACCCTCCAAAGCTAGAGTTACTGTTATCTCAGTAACATGTATGTCATGCTGAAATCACACTTTGATCTCTGCCTTATAGTCTCTCTTCAAGGAAATACACTGGGAAATTTTACAGCTTCAAAGTTATGAGTACCTTATGTTCCATGTTTCATAATTACTGAACCTTTCCTGAACTTATTAGCCAATAAATCTTATAGTGTAATAAAATGCTCTATTAATTTTTTATATCTTCAAACTACCTCTTAGAAATTTTAAAATGTACTGATTAATTTTCATGGTCTAGAATTTGACAAATGTGGTGGTACATTTAACTCTGGCATCTACAGATTTTACCCTCACAAAAATGCCATTTATATGTCAGGTACTCTTTTTTTTGTATTTTATTATTTTTCTGTGTATGAGTGTATTTATTGCCTGCATGTACATAAGTGCACCTGTACTGTGCAATGCCAACAAAGGTCAGAAGAGGGTGTCGGATCCCCGAGGACTGAAGTTACAGACAGTTTAGCCACCATGTAGGTACTGAAAATCAAACCCAGGTCCTGTGCAGGAGCAGCCAGTGTTCTTAACCACTGAGCCATCTTTTCAGCCTCACGCCAGGTACTCTTTAATCTTTATAAACCTATCAGATAAACACTGTTATTAGCTATCATTTCTGGATTTTTTTTTTAAATGGGGGTGAATTTTACATATCATCTAAGTCATAATTTTAACGTTAATGAGCATAATTCAACGGAATGAAGTACCACTTTTTTGAGACAAGGTCTCTGTAGCTCAGGGTGGTTCAAATCGTATGCTTCAATGATTCTCTTGCCTCAGATTCCTAAGTAGCTGGAACTAGACGTGCACCACAGTGCTTAGCTCCAAAATACTACTGCCCCCAAGAGACCCTTACTCACTGGGCAATAATGTTCCATCTCTACCTGTCAGCATCACTTGAAACAACAAATTTACTTCCTGCTTTCTCATAGATTCAACTATTAAGGACACTTTGTGTGAATAGAATGAATCATACAGTAGTTGTCCTTTTACACTCTGGCTTGTCTCACAACCGTTTCCAAAGTCATCAAAGTTCTAGGACATATCAGTACTTTTTGGTTTTTTTTGAGTTTGACAAAATATATTGTTTTTTTTTTCTATTTTATTATTTTTTTAAAAATGTTTTTCTTAATATTTTATTATTTTTATTTTATGTGTATGAGTGTATTGCCTGCATGTATGTGAGTGCACCCATGTTGTGCAATGCCGTGGAGGTCAGGAGGGCTTTGGATTCTCCTGGAACTGGAGTTAAGGACAGTTTGTAGCCGCCAGGTGGGTGCTAAGAATCGAACCTGGGCCCTCTGCGAGAGCAGTCAGTGCTCTTAACCACTGAGCCCTGTCTCCAGCCCCTATTTTATTATTTTTATTTTATGTGTATGAGTGTATTGTTTGTATGTGTATAAGTGCTCTTATGTTGTGCAATGCCCACAGGGGTCAGAAGAAGGCAATGGATTTCTCTGGATCTGGAGCTGTTAGCCACCATGTGGGTACTGGGAACCAGACCTGGGTCCTCTGCAAGAGCAGCCAGTGCTCTTAACTGCTGAGCCATCTCTCCAACCCCAAAAGTGTATTAGTATTTAAGTAAAGTCATTCATCTCAGTCTTTCTCTGTCCTCATCTTGACCTTAGATTACTATTTCATTTGGGTCAAGTACAGACTATGGAAGAGAGAGATGTCATTTCTTTTTTTTTTTTTTTTTTTCTAATAACACCAGCGATATGTCACTTAAACAGTAAAAAATGGATAGCTTGTCTACATAAAAGTTAAATCTATCTAACTTAATTAAATCATGTAGGAACTAACAGTGCTATGTACATTTTTATTGTTTCACTTGGGGTTTAAAAACTAAACTTAAATGTAAGTGAACAAAGTGTAGGAATAGCCACACTTTGGCTATTTTTCAGAACTTATTACATTAAATAAGCTCAGTGAGTAATTACCACTAATAAAATTCTTTGAAGCTGCCTCCCAATTTAACATTGTAACTTCCAAGGAACTTGTATCATTTTTTCTTGTCTGTGACTGTAAAATTTAAAGATGGGTTTAACTGTCACATTACAAAAAAAGTCTACCTAGGCATTGTAGCTAAGGCCTTTAATCCTAGCACTTGGAGGAAGAGACAAATCTCTGTGAGTCTGAGGTCAGTCTGGTCTAAATAGCAAGTTCTAGGCCAACTTAGACTACAACAGAATCTGTCTCAAAAAAAAAAAAACAGAACGAAAGGGAAAAAAAAAAAGTCCATATACAATACAAAACACCCTAAATACAATGGAGTATATGTGGTAAGAGAATTCATAATGAAGATGTGTTTGAAAATGGCATTTTCTTTCCTTTCATTAAATTAAAATGTAGTCAGTAGTATATATTTAAAATAAAGCTATGGAAATATACAAAAAGAAATCTTGCAGTGAGTTCAATTCAAATAGGATCTAAAAAGTTAGTAACTTGAATGCTTTGACAAAGTCACAAAAAGAGCATCACATTATTTTTCATATAATGTTATGCTTTTGGGGGGGATGCATTTAAATTTTTAAAGAAACCCAATACTTACAGCAGTAAGGATTTTGGTGGTGATTTGTACTTTAAAAAAGGGAGTTGGGTGTGGGGAGGACTCATGCCTTTAATCCCAACACTCAGGAGGTAGAGGCAGGTAGATCTCTGAGCTCAAGGCCAGCCTGGTCTACACAGTGAGTTCCAGGCTAGCTGGTGCTACAGGGAGATCCTGTCTCAAAAAGACCAAAAATAAAATAATTAATAATAATAATAATAATAATAATAATAATAATGAGGCTGGAGAAATGGCACTGGCTGTCCTTGCAGAAGACCCAGGTTCAAATTCTAGCACCCACATGGTGACTGACAACCATCCATAACTGCAGTTCCAGGAGATCCAAAACCCTGTTCTGTCCTTCACAAGCACTGCAGGACACAGGTACACTTATACATGCAGGCATAACGCACACATATCAAATGAAAAACAAATTTTTAATTAAAACAGAAAAAGAAACAGCTTATGATGTGCCTCAAGTTCCCAAGGAAATGCTTACAGGAGCTAGGTACAAAACCCAAGGGAAGCTCATTCAAAGTACTGATTTATTTTAGTAGCAAACGGTGTTCTTTGAAGACTACTGAAGAGTGGGCAATCTCCATTTAAGTGAAGTGGTCTATTTCAAATACTCAATAATACACATAAAATATTTTGGGGAGCCGGGCATGGCGGGGCACGCCTGTAGTCCCAGTACTAGGGAGGCAGAGGCAGGCAGATCTCTGTGAGTTCAAGGCCAGCCTGGTCTACACAGTGAGTTCCAGGACAGTGGGGGCTACAGAGAGACCCTGCTTCAAAGACAAAAAAAATGGGGGGGGGGGGATTTAATGAGCTTAAGTGTCTGTATTCATTGACAGCAACATAATACCTAGTATACGAGGACCCAAAACAATAGAAAATGGAAAATAGGAAAAAAAGGGTTAATTTTATCTAAATTTACTTTTACTTTCAGTCAATAGTCTAGTAACGTTTTCCTCACAATGTAATACCCTCTCTCTCTATAAAAGGCTGGTCCTGGGAACCACAGTGTAGGAATGAGGGAGTAAAGGTAGAAGAGTAACTGCTCACTGTTTTAAATAGACAATAACTTTTGGCTTCCCTCTCAATGTACTAACAGCTGTGTGTAATCTAAAAATGCAATTCTTAGAAAGGTACCATTTCTGGGGCTAGAGAGATGGCTCAGCAGTTAAGAGCACTGACTGCTCTTGCAGAGGACCCATGTTTGAGTCCCAGCACCCACATGGAGGCTAATAACCATCTGGCTAACCAACTGGCTAACTCCAGTTCCAAGGGATCAGATGCCCTCTTCTAACCTCTGCAGGCATTGCATGACACGAATGTACTTACACACATGCAGGCAATACACTCATACACATAAAATAAAGAAAAATAAATAAAATAAAAAAGTACTATTTTAATTTATTAGCTGTAACCTTTGGAAACTTATCTGACTACCTATGGCAAATTCAAACTTGGAGATCTTAGTAGACTTTATTGGAAAGCTTCTTCCTCAGCTGACTGTTATTCAGCACTGGGACTGAAACTTTCCCCTTCACTATCCTGACAACTAAGGCTAACTGCGGCTCACTGCGGCTTCTCAGGCTTCTCCTCTCCCACCTTCCCAGCTGCCACCATCTCCATTGGCCTCCCCCAGTACTTCATTTTTATGAATGAATAACAGTAACTTATGAACATAAAGCACTGCTTATTCATTCCTGCCTGGAGTTTGACTTTGTGAACTTCCCAATCTTTTTAGAAATTCACGCTTTCATTACATTTAGAAAGTTTTTGGTTATGCTTTCTTTGACCTTTTTTACACCTCTTTTCTCCTCAGACTCTATTATACACACGTTGGTCCATATGGTATTTTCGTTAAGTCTCCTGGGCTCGCTTTCATCTGTTTTCATTCTTTGCTCCTTCCACTCCTCTGAATGGATAAGCTTTAATCAACCTATATTGCAATGCATTCCTCTACCCACTCAAATGTGCTACAACAAACCCTGCTAGTCAGCTTTTCACTGTAATTACTACTCTTTTCAGTTTCCCAATCTCTATTTTGTTATTTTTAAAAACATGGCAACGGCAACATGTATCCCAGGCTAGCTTCAAACTCAATGCAATCCTCCTGCCTCAGCCTTCCCAGTGATGGGATTATAGAAATTATATCACACTTGCCACAGTCATAATTTCTATTCCTTTTTATCACTTTATCTGCTTCTTTGTGGTTTCTTTTAGCTCTTAATCCATGCTTTTCTTTAGTTTTTGTGAGCACATTTAAGAGTTTATCCAAAATCTTTGCTAAGTCTATTGTGTGGGTTTCCTCAAAGGCTTTTTAAAACTAAATCCTTATAAATTTGTCATATTTGTTTACATAGCTCGTATTTATCTTTAAAACCAAACATTCTTAATGAAAGCAGCAGATTCTGCCCCCTCTGAGGGAAGAAAATTCTCTCTCACACACATACACACAACACAAATAGCTGCTGTGTCTCATCAGAATAATCCATTTTTTTGGTCTTTTTGAGACAGGGTCTCCCTGTAGCCCCAGCTGGCCTAGAACTCACTATGTAGACCATGCTGGCCTTGAACTCACAGACATCCCCCTGTCTCTGCCTCCCAAATTTAAAGTTATAATGATTAACTATATGGCAGCCATAAAAAAGACAAAACAGGCTCAGAAGTCCCTTAAAAAAAAAAAAAAATCACCTAAACTGACTGGCAGGTTGCTGCAATCGTCATGCTAAGAGGAGTTGTCACTAAGAGGAATTGACTCAGAATCACTCAGTGTAGGAAACCTCATACTCAGAGCACTTGTCAAAAACAGTATTTGGCAGCAACTGTTAAAGACCAGAACTGCCTGATGTAACATTAGCACTGTACTTATCAAAAGACTGAAAAAAATGCTTAAAGGAAAAAAAAAAAAAAAATTCTAGAATGGGGTATCTGTATGAACTTTGAACTCCAAACCATTCTTGGAAACCTAGATGGCCACACACATTAGCAGGGCTGTGCACACATACTCAAAGCCATGCACAGTCCCAGGTAAGAGCTGAGAGAGCCAGGACCTCTCACCCCCTGGCAGGTCTTACTGCTCAGTGCAGGTAGGAAATAAAGGTTAAAGCAGAGTTGTCAAATTGGGAAATAAGCCACAAAGGTCATATACTGTATGATTCCATTGTATAAAACACCTGGATCAGTCAAACCCATAGAGACAGAAAGGTGAGTGACTGAGGGGAGAGACTGCAGACTGACAATGGAGAGTTCCAAATCTAGAAGTTAGTAGTCATGAAACTTGAGAATACACTTTAAAAAATACACTAAATTGTATGCTTTAAAAGGATAAATTTGAGTGTATATAGTATGTCTTTAAAAAGTTGCTATAAAACTAAAATCACAAAACAAGCATGACTCAGGTCTATAATCCCAGCACTTGGAAGGCTGAGGCAGAACTATGAATTGGAGTCTAGTATAGGCTATATGGTCAGAGTTTGTCTCAAAAAGTAAGCAAAATTTTAAAGTAAAATTTAAAATTGTAATCATCTTTGTGAGAAACATGATCTAACAATCATATTTCCTATTTATTTTACACTGGAAACGTCTTTGAGGAATTAGTTATAAAGACTTATTTTTGTTTTATGTATATGAGTATGTCTCTGTGTGAATATCTGCCTCATGTATGCAGGTGCCTGCAAGAGGCCAGAAGAGGGGATCTGTCCACTGGAACTGGAGTTATAGGCAGTTGTGAGCCACCCTATGTAGGTGCTGGGAACTGGACTCTGTTCCTCTGGAAGAACAGGAAGCACGCTAACTACTGAGTCATCTCTCTAGACCCCAGAAATTAGTTATAAATGAGAAAGTAAAACAAGCCTCCACACAGTTATATTTATGTAATTTAAAGCATAACTTAATAGCTCTTGGCCTTATTTCAATTTTCCAAAGTTCCTTCCAAGTATATTCTACCATATATAATTCTTTGAATTAGTTTCTTACTATTTACAAATATTTATTCAGGGAAGGGAGGTGATAACCAAGGTAATACAGGTTTATTGTACAAAACAAGAAAAATCCAAACATGACAATGAAAGTCACGCATAATATCATCTACACACAGACATTATCAACATTTTGGTGTAACTTTCTGTCTCAGTGTTAGAATACCAAAATAAAAGTATAGGAACACAAACTAAAATATGAGCTAATACCCAAATGTCCAAATACACTTACAATTTTCTCTCCAGTAAAGGTGAGATTTGTTCCATTCTCCTTAGCCTTTAAACATAACAAAAAAAAAAAGGAAAATTAATTCATTTTTTACTTTACTGTCAGAAATATGTAAGGAAAAACAATTACCTCCTGTTTTTCTCCTAAAAGAGGCAGTCGATGCATAAACTCTCCAGAAAAGCTCTATTAAAAAAAAAACATATAAAACTAAATTAAAGATGCACAAATAGTAAAAGTGCAGTTCAAAATACCTAGAAATGCTTAATGCAAAACATGATATCATAGCAGCAAAAAATAATAGCATCGGCAGACAAAAAAGTTTCCAATGAACCATGACAAAGCAAATCAAGCCCTGCTGAGAGTAACATCAAGACAGCTGACAATCTCTCTACGAGGGTCACAATAAAGTATGACAGAGCCCTAGAAGACATGGGTACACGATGAAGGGCTTGAGAAAATTCCCTCTCATTCCATGGAAGAAAGAGGCTGAAGGTCATAAAACTAAGTACTCATCTTATTGGTTACTGGGAGTTGAGGCATTTTCCTTTCTCAGTAATTAGATCGTGTGATTCAATGCTTACACTAGACTGGGAGACAGGAACCTCAATAAGAGCATATCACAAAACCCTAGAAAGACACAGCAGACCTGAAAGGAGGGAGCTTCAAACAATAAGATGCAGCAAGTAACCTTCCATAACCAAACTCAACCAGTCACCCTAGCCTAGGGGGTAAATATGAAGAACAAAAGACAAGCAACTGACTCATCACATTGTGTCTGTCCCTTGCTACCACTTCTTTTTCCTACACAATACAAAAAGTCTAAGCTATGACAAGAGCTGAATTCATGAGAATGAATTATCAATTACTTCATTGTTATTCACTATATTTATATAATAAGGTATATGTAAATAATAATTTACAATTATATTTATAATCTACTAAACTTTATTTTTAGTGACTGGACAGAAAATTCACCTTCTGGTGAACAATATGCTACTTCAAAACAATCTACTAAATATCCCAAAACAATTATTAAAATTTTTTTGATTTACTTATATTTTTTTGGTAAGATTTTTTTATACTTTATTTATTATTATTTTACGTGCATAAGTGTTATGCCTGAATGTATGTAAGTGCACCCATGTCGTGCAATGCCTGCAGAGGACAGAAGAGGCTGTCAGATCCCCTGGAACTGGAGTTATGGAAAGTTGTTAGCTGCCATGTGGGTATTGGGATTCAAACCTGGGTCTTCTGCAAGAACCAGTCAGTGTTCTTAACCGCTGCACCACCTCTCCAGCCCCTT